CCCGCGACTCTGAGACATATCAATGTGTGCCGTGAATTTTCACGTGAAGCTAGAAGTTTGAAATTTTCCACCAATCTTCCCTCATTAATAAGCAATTACTATGCTAAGTTTGAAGACATTCGGCCTAATCCTTAATCCTTTTCTGTTATCAAAATCAAGCCAAAGCAGAAAATAGCCCGAGATTTAAAATAGCGCGGTCTCAGTACCTTTGATTATTAATCCGAGATGTCTTCAGGATAATTATCCTGTAGATTTTCGTTTTATATCTGGACTTTAAAAGTTTTTAATAACAAAATTTGATTAAGTGAACAATACAGGACTCCAGAGTATCGTACGGAGATTTTTCGACTGCACAAGAAAGGATATTTTATCAGGAAACTAACCAGAAGGACCTCTTATTCCAACAAGAGAGTTTGGAGCGCAATTGACCGCGAAAAATCGATTGATTTCGCGGAATTGTTCAGCATTTTTAGATGAATTCTGTCATATCTGCTTCTAAGTTCCATTAAGAATGGTTTCCTAAAGTCCCTCTAATCCTATTAATATCGCGAGAAACATATCGCGAGGACTTCTGCTTGTGCTATTAATTGAATAGTGAAAATTTTTATTGCAAATAGGACAGTTTTATCACAAGAAACTTGGAGTTGATTCACATAATAAGACAAGGAGTGTAATCGATAGTTCAATTACTCTGAGGGCTTTTTCGCAATGGAAACTTCTTTTTCCCCCATCTTCTGTGCCATTTTTTCTCTCGCGTTCATTCTTCCATTCACTTGCATTAGTCATAAAATCCGATAGAGAAACAATTATTTCATTGTAAAGATTCCACTTAAGAAGAGCAAAGACAATCTTTTAATCAACGAAGACTCCTATATATAATTTTTAATCTATCGCATTGGATTCCCAGAGAATATCCATTTCATCATTTTAAGAGCACGTCTCGAAGATTTCCACCATAATCATATTGATGGATGAAGAGCCAAAGCATATTTCACTTCGTCAATGATTGTGAATCCTGTGAAGTTGGCAATGTGATTTGCTTAAATCTATGCGATGGCAAGGATGCTTTTTGTGTAGGATTAGCGGCAATGTTGCCGTAATTTAATCAGTGAAGCCGAGCAAATGTGCAGTGCAATGAAATATGCAAATTACATGAGCGGAGAAACTAATTGAAAGTTTTCAACGACTTTCCAATGTGCACAGACACATATATAATCTTGATGAGATTTTACATTTATCAAAAAGCTTTCCCACCGCGTAAGCTCTCATTGGCAGGTGTATTCATAAATCTTTGGTAGTAATTTACGATCACCTGTGATGCACTGTGGAGCGAAATTACACACAGCTCAGGCGAATATCGCCGCAAAATAATTTATCTGTCATTGTCTCATTATTATGGAAATGTCGGGCGGCAAAAGCTCTGCATAGGCACATTTTGGCAAGTGATGTGAGGGCTTTCGTGGCTCAAATTGTTGAGTAAATCCCCTCCTTAGTTGTGACAGAATAGCATGACAAAGTTATAAACGTCGTCCTTCCATGGGATTTTGGGCAAAAAATATTGACGAAAATCTTCGGCAGCGGTCCAATTTGTGACGAGACCAAGATTAATTTAAATATAATGTAAATTATTAAATTTCCCACACACACACACACAAGACTGTGTGACATACATTCAAATGAGCTGCTGTGCGAGGAGAAAAGAAATTTGACTAATTGTGTCTGTCCCTCTTGTGTGTCTGGAAAAAACTTTGTCACACCATAGCTTAAAATATTCAGAAAACTCATTCGAGATATTAATCAAAAAGACCCTCAGACGCTTCACTTGATACACTTTTCTTATACGTCTTTAATTTGCTTCTCGAAGTCTGTGGGCTTTTTTACCAACGCAAATCCTCGGCAAATGAATGAAAAATGCGTACGAGAATGAAAAGTTGATGTGCGACTCTTCGCATTAAGTGGGCTTACTTGACAATGGCGAGGAATGTCTTAAAGACAATGCCGAAGTTGCACACAAGAGACCTTTAAGATGTGACATTTCCCATGGCAACACATTTTGCATATATCGAGAGAGTCCTTGGCTCAGGACGAAAACGAGTAACAAAAGTCAATAACTTTTGAAAACCTCTCCAGGAGGAAATTTATCATTGTTAGAGCACATTTTTGAAATTCACAAACTTTCTACATATTTTTAAACTTTTCGCCTTTTGATGCCAATTATATGCTCATACGCTATGCTCAAAAACGAGGAGAGGCGGAAAAAATTGTGGAAATATTGATTTTTCCATTAATGTAAACATTTTCGGAAAAGTTTGTCGAAGATAAAAATGGAAAAATGTTTGTGTGTTTCAACCCAGAGTTTCACGTTTGTACAGAAAAAAAAGAGGAAAAGAAAACTTTTAACTCATACTCAATAATCAAAGTATGAGATTTATACCAGGGAAAACCGCTGTGAAAATTCAATTTGGAAATGTACTTTTATTTGCGCATTGTCAGGTGATGCTCTCTGAAGGTTATTTCACTGCTTTCAGTGAGATTCACCGCGATTTCCACTTCAAAACCAGAGATGATAATTTGAATAATGAAATTCGGTATGGGAAAAATAATGCATAGAACTTCCTGCTATTTTGCTGTATTGCAACAATTTTCACAACCACAGCTGTGAAAATAGTTCGGTATATTATAAACTATGTAAGCCTCTTGAAAAATTTAAATTGTTCGCTTGTGAATATCAACTATTAAATAAAACATTCAACTGTGCGCTGGCGAGTGCTAATAGTATTAAAAGTGGTCAAGTGGGAATGAAAGTATTAAAATATGTTTTTTTACATTCCCATTTACGCATGCACGGATTTATACACTGGGGATTTTTGTGGTAAATCAGTGGCCAAAGGGAGATTAATATACCTTAAATCTGTACAACACTTCCTTATAGCTTCTGTGCGGAATCATTGGCACTTTAGACAAACGTCTTTAAAGGCATTTTCAATCGCTTTATAAGAAGTTTCATGTTTTGAAGTTGCCTAGAAAAAGTCTGATCAATTTGTGAGGTTTTGAAAACCATTTTCAAAACATTTTTGGACTAAATTAAGTCCTTTCAAACCTGGAAATGAGTAAATTGAGGGAATATTACAATAATTCAACTGGATAATAAAGTACAATTCGTGCAAAGAGACATTAATCTGGGTTTAAATGAATTTTTTAAGGTTATGTTTGACTTAAAGCTGTTTATTACTTCCGAAATTTAACGAATCTGAAAGTTTTTTTTAACACAAATGCTTAATTCTGCTAAGCAAAAGAGAAATACTCCCAGTTTAAACACTATTTTGATTATTTTAAAGGTTAGAAACTGTTTGAAATCAATCACATAACCTAGAAAAGCAAAAAAAAATTTTTCTAAGCAAAATAATTGAGAAAATCCCTCAATTTGTTGAAAAAGAAGCTTTTGGAGTGCAAATATTCCAAATACTTTATCACTTCTAAATCCTAACACTTCCGTGAAGTTGTACACCACTTCCGACAATAATATCTGCCTCTTGTCCGTGGCAAAATATTGTGTCGGAATCGAGAGACTGTGGCAAAAGCAACATCTTACTTCACTTGGGCCGAAAAACAAGTTGATGGTAATGTGAGCACAAGGGCTGCCTTCGTGATTAATGGCACAATTTTTGTCAATAATCATTCAAGTCCGATCATCAGTGGCAGGAAGTAAATTGTGCCATTCTCCAACCACCGCAGAATACGGCAGAACAGTTGTACAACAACGCTAACACTAACTGCAAAATTATACATATCGCAATACATAACTAAATACAGAGATATTTTGGGCATGTAAAAGGGAGAAAAGCTGAGATGGGAAAAGTGGGTTGAATCATCGCATTTTTGCCACTCCACATATATACAGATTCAATTTACCATTCCGTGTGCGCCTTTTACTAACCACATATAATCCAAAAAAAAATCAATTTCCGGACCATCAAGATTGAATCCAATCTCAGTGTCTATTTATGTATCACAGCCTATATATTGGTGATTGAGTGCCAGGCGAGTTTCTCTCACTGTGACGATTTTATTAATAATGTCAAGGGTTAATGTCGGGGAGACTCCTGTGTCGCAGAGGTATGAATTCTGGCGTATATTTCACTTAATTGTCATAAATTGTCCACATCGTGCCCCTGAGAATGTACTAATTGCGCCCCTAATGGACATTGCGACTGTCTTAAAGGTGGACTTCTTTCTCCCTCTATCTTCAGCAGTGGCATGTGGAATTCATTAGAGAAATTCAATTATCATCTTTGACTCTCCCCACCACTGAATAGCTGGGAATGTCCTTTCCAATATTGCCCGCATAAATGTCGCCTAAGTTATAGCCGGAGCAGATAAGAAACTATATAGCAACTGAACGAATGTTTATCTGGGTGGGTGTCAAATGAGATTATATGTTTACTCTCACACATCGCAATTATCACCATAATTTCCACGTTTAACCTGGGAGAAAAAGCGAAAAATTCAGTAGCAAAAAGCTTCATATTCATGATATTTCTTCGTGAGTTCGTAGTTTGAATAACTCGACAGAAATGTGTGTTTTTTTTTCTCCTCTCCTCTCATTCTAAAACACAATTTCCTGAGAGTGAAGGAAAAGTCGGAAAAATTCACCATGATCAAAGTGAATAAAATAAAAATGCACTTGTGAATAAATTACAAGGCAGTGGAATTGAAATGAGAAAATCAGCAGTGTCGTCAAACAAATCGTGTGAATTATTCAGCAGACTTTTCTGCAACATTTGAACTTTGGCGGAATTAATTAGGGAAAATCAGCAAACTTTGAGCTGTGTGTAACTTCTTTTTTAATTCCGTGATATATTTCACTGGCACTTTTTCTCTTCCGTCATTTTTTAATGAGAATCACTCGTCTCTTATCCCGGAATGTCTGGTTTTTTTTTGCAGGGTTTGCTGCAGTGTGTAAAAAACAGCGTTGAAGTATATAAAATGCTCGTCGACGAATGATACCTCCATCAACACATTTGATCCCTTACCCACCGCATTTGCTGTCCATGCCATCATACCTGTGGACTCTGCTTCTCATGGCTATTCTCATAGCCAGGCGCAGTGGCGTTCGGGCTCAGCAGCAGGCGCCAAGTCAGCAGCAGCAGCACAACTTATGCGGTGGCTACTTGAATGCAACACAGGGCGTCATCCAGACGCCCAGCTTCCCCAGCAAATTCCCCGTTCCCATCACCTGTGTCTGGATCATCGACGCCTCGAGCAATCCCTCCGCCAATGTGTCCATCGTCATCTACCTGACGCAGATGTACGCCCTGAACGGGCTCAAGTTCACCGAGTACATGTACTACAGTGCCGACTACAAGGTGCCCAGTCCGCAGACGTTCGAGATCAGCGAGGACAACGTCACGCAGGTGACGTGGCTCAAGTTCAGCAGTCCCTACTTGGAGGTCAAATTCACCATGCACTCCATCCACGGCAGCCACCTGCGCGCCCTGGATCGCCTCCTGGACGTCTACGGCTTCAACATCACCTACGAAGTGGGGCCCGTGAAGACCTACCAGTGCAACGCACTCAAGTGCCGCTTCCTGGGCCACTGCTTCGCCACACACAACTTTAGGTGAGTCCCGAAACACCCCTCGAATTCACATATCTCCCGCACTGGCGGGGATTCGCTGATTTCCCGCGAGGCGCCCACATAAAATACGCATAATAAAAGCAACATTCAATAAAGTTGCAATTTTATTGCTGTATAAAAGACTTTATGAAAAGTCCATTTAGAAGAATTTCTCGATAAATATGCTTTCTCCGCCAACTTTATTGGGCATTTTATTCATGAGCGATTCACAGTGGGAATTCGCGAGAGCGTTTAAGGAAAATGCTCCTTATAATTTCCTTCATCTCAATGTGTGGGATGTTTTGAGTTCTCCAAAGAAAAAATGCTTAGATTTCTGCTAGCTTTAACATGAAGAATTTCCCATTAAAAATAATTATTTCCAAAGAAATATCAAATTTAAAACAATTTGTCACTAAGGAACGATCTATCGATATTCAATTTGATTTTCGCGTATGTAAGAGAAGCTCCTCGAACGTCACTCACATGGTCGTAAAAATTCTGACTGACAAGCAACGCTGCAAATTCCCTTTATTTGCGTCAATTCCACTCCCACCTTATCAGTCTTCAATTTCCGTGGGGGAGAGAGAGAAAAGAGAGCATAAATAGATCATATTGATTCCTAGTATATTCAAAGCACATCTCGCTTTTCCCCGGGAAAGTTGCCCACAACTTCTAAACTTCCGCTCACACATGATATTGAAAGTTTACAATGTTTCCGATATAAGCAAGAGTGACCGTAAAAATTTAATGTGCACTCACGAGATGTCGTGAGACAAAGGAAAAAATGTAAGACATGGAAGCAAATAGCATTACAGCTCTTGAGAAACTAACAACTTGACTGTGTCACTCTCATGAGCAGAGCTTAAAGCTTGCAAAAGTCAAGGGGGAGACAAAATAGTCAGAAATTGTGTACAGCTCAGCAGAAGCACTTAAGAAGTGGAAAGAGTGTTCAGAAACTGCAGTGTTTACTGACAAATCATCTCGATTCTTTGGATTTCCATCGATTTTTACACAGAATCAATCATAAAAATTCTTTTTCTAGGTTATGTAATGATTCACGAACAGATTTAGTGAATATTTCGCATTCTAGCGCATCAATTCTTATGCTAAAGTCGCCAAGATTGCTAGTCATTGACAGAATTAGATATTTTCGTGCCAAAAAATACTGCAAATTGTATTGAACTCAAACATAACCTCAAAAATAGTAATTTAAACTCGAGAAATATTCATTTAAACGAATTTTTGCATGATTTTGACACCGAATCAGTAATTTCTAGTTCATAACCATTTTACTTTGTTATCCAGAAAACTTGCAAACTGAGCTTTTGGAGATCTCTTGGTTATATTTTGAGGTTATGGTCTGAAAAGATATCTAAAAAAGCGTTTTTAAGTTGATTTTGTCAGAAATATCGCATGGAAACTTGAGAGATTCATTATAATTTGGGAAATAATGTGGAAACAGTCTAATTTTCGAAGTATTTGGAAGCTGTGTACAGATTTAAGGCATATTATCTCCCCCTTGGCGAAAGTCACACTCTCGCTTCTCACGCAAAATGTCTGTACACGTGTAAGCAAAGACGGTGTATTTGCTGTTTAAACAAAGGAAAAAATCATTATATTTGGTTAAGGGACAGATTTAAGATGAATTTCTTAAGCGTTGGAGTAGAAATTGAGGTTATATAATAATTTCGCGATAAAATATGTACGGGGAGGATGTTATGATGTACAAGGAAGTTTATAGTAATCCTTACAGTATTAAGTAAACTTTTCTGTGTGGCGCGGCAATATGGATGGGCCTGAAAAGTAAAAGAATCCACACACCATCATTCGCTTGTTTCTAACATATATTCTTTGCGCCGCAACATTCACCAAACTTAATATTCATCATGTTGTGAATGAGAAAGTTTTTTTTCCCATGCAGCTTTTCAAAAATTATAATATCTTGAATGCGACATAAGAGGGATTCTCTTTCAAAAACACACACACACCACTCGTCCCAGAGAACATCTCGCTGTGGTGGAAAAATTTCATTCTGGGTCAAACTTTTCCTATTCGACTTGAAACGATAAAAAGTCCATCATTGAAGGGAACACAAAAGCGACGCATTTCACTTTTATATACATGTCCATATATGGGTGGAAAAGCTCCACGTTGACACAGTGTGTGTCATGAAATCAAGGGAATTTAGAGTGAAATTAAATGCGTAGGAATTATCCGCACCGAGAATTTCCGACAAAGACCGCGTCTCTGTTTACAAAATGTTCCCGGGAAAGTATCGCTAACACTCCAAACCACCATTGTGTGCATGGGAGGATCTTTGAACCGTAAAGTTGTAGTGGAAAAACTTTACACACAGGCTTCAATAAAGTTTCTTCAAAAGTTTTCCCACTCTGGAGACTTCTGAATAAGTAGAAATGTACTGGATTTGTAAGACAAGTGGGATAATTTTTTCGGGATTTCGTGTAATATTGCATGATTATAGGTTGAATTGAAACCACCAGGCGTCTCCATTTGTGTATAAATTAACCATCCAATTCCCTTTATCACTTCCAGCGACTACTACTGCTCCTGCTTCCCCGGTTTCAGTGGCACTGACTGCGGCTTTGGGCCGCTCTGCAAGGAGTCAAACAGGAGCTTCTGCGAAAATGGTGGGATTTGCAAGTGAGTTGAAGACACTTCCCCAAGTTGTCATGCAAAATTAGGCCGATAAGACGCGCCTTTCCCCGCAGGAGTAGGGACTTGATGAATTGCCCAACAAATCCACCTAAGTCATAAAATTGTGATTTGCATGAATACAACATTAGTCCATCAGATAGAGAAGCATGCCATGCCCCACTTGTATCCCCCATTTTGATTGTCACTTAATGCTCCTCTTCGCGGCCTAGCGAAATAGCAAATTCACGATCTGTGTACATTTTCAGGCACATCGGAGATGCGGCAGTTACGTGCCTCTGCCCTAATGGATTCAAGGGAAATAAGTGTGATGTACCAGAAGTACATTCAGTTAGTGGTGAGTTTTATTTTCCCCCATTTAATTCGCCAAATCATCGATAATTGGATTGTAATTGACCTGTAAAATGGGTTCATTAGCTGAAACGGGATATACAGAAATTGGATCACTCCGCTGGACCCTCATCTCGCCATCTCCAATGGGAAAATCACAATTTTCGATGCCGAAACATTTGGGTGGGATATAAAATTCGGTAAAATACCAATCAATGGCAGAACATAAAATTCCAACAGCATAAAATCCTTCTGCTTTTCCACATTCAATGAATTCAATTTTTTTCCACCCCTTGATTACTACGTATTTCCTTATATCCTTTTGCGCGTTTCTTTATACACCAGAGAGGAATATTATTTCCAATACTCCTCCTGATGCTATTGATTTAATGAAAATACCATAAACTTGGGGGGATGAAAAGATTCCAATTTCACGGTAAAATCTGCAATGCGAATAGTTTTATGGGTGGGAACTTCTCAAATTATCCCCCCATTTAACATCCTCATAATGCTCATGAGCGCAAAAATTAACCTTTGAGTGATTTCCATACAATTTTCAACTGCACATTGTGGAGGATATAAATCATCTCTATCACACCGAAAGTGCGATAGTGCTTTTTGTGCAACTGAGTTGCATGACCGCTTCATGAATTTCAAAATTCATTCAGTCCTTTTTTTCCCCCCATCGCATCCCTGTTCTCACCCAAAATTATGGGGTGCGATTAATTCTGCCCTTCCATCGAGGGACTGGCGCGTTATCAAGTCATTTTTGGGGTGAGGGGTTGCAGTTCCCGAGGGTGTGAGTGCTGAGTGAAGTTTATGACTGTGATTTTCTCATGGGTTATATTCTTACAACCACTCTCTGTCGACATTTCTTTCAGGTCAGTGTGGAAGTGAAAATGCTGACAACTGCCATCGAGAATGTGTATCCAATGGTGGTGATGACAAATTTTGCAAATGCCGTGCTTCGTCAGCAAATTTTCGTAAGTATTACAACTTTTTCCTCAAGCACTTCCCCATGCTTGTTTTCCACGCCATTCCACAATATCAATGCAAACTCTCGTCACTCCACCAAAATCGCACTATTCGCCTCATTGGCGCTCGTTTCCCACCCCCTGACTCTACAAAATTGTCAAGCAAATTGTATTGTTTTATCGAATTTATTGTCTCTCTCTCTCTCTGGTGATGATTTTTCAATATTTCCCCGCCAATTGCAAATTAATCTCCCTTGGACAAAATTTGGATAAAGTGCAACCTATAAATTATGCACTTCGCGCATTTGTCAGTGAAGTGGTAATTGTTATTTGCACCTGAGTTGCTAAAATCCATCTTGAACTTTCGGGACTTCACTTCGTCTGCAATTAACATTGGCAATTTGTGCCCCGAAGTTGTTCTAAGTTGTTAACTAATTAACGTTAAAGTTTGCCGTATAGAAGCAGACAAATTCCTGTCCCTCAGATCGTGAATGCACTTCCATTCCAGTAGCGGAGATAAATGAATTGGCGTCATAAGATATTCATCTTCAGGTGGATTTAGTCACTGACACCGCGTCCGTGGCGCTAATTGGCTAAACTTGAGCTGTTTTCCTTTAAAGCTTTCCACCCCCCAGAGTTTCTATTGCCAAAGGTTTGTTCATCGAATTTTTTTGTGGCCCTAATTTTTCAGTCAATCAAATCAAATTGCCAATAAAAGTCTCTTGAGGACGCTTTTGCGTCACAGAGTGTGTACATACGGAAAATTTATCCAATTTAACTAAATGTTGTTTATCTAATGTTTTTGCTGCGGTTCATTTCCGGCTGAAATGAGGCCAGCAATAGAGTTCAATTTCGGGGATGACTTGCGCTATTTATCTCTTGGACAACATTCAGACTGATGTTGAGCATCATGCGAGAAGTCACACATATATCAAGGAAAATGCTTTAGTTTTGCATAATATTTTCAGCTTAATTTATTTGTGGATAAGGCATTTTGTGACTTGTGCATTTCAATTTGGCAATAAATTGTGGGAAAAGCTCTCTGTTTTTTTTCTGTTGTGTGAGCTTTCACACATTTGCAGCTTGTCTCGCTAGTTGTGAATTGAGTTTTCCCCCTCGAAACACTATATCCGAAATTCTTGGACCTCGGCAACAGGGGAAAAAAGGGCGCCTCGTTGAGAAACCACCATATAAACAACAGCCAGCGACATTGAATTAATTAACCTCGAGCCTGTGGGCTAATGATGTTTAGCTATGCAAAGCCATGTCTGCAATTTTCTCAACAAGAACATTAGTTTGCAAAGCAGTAATTAAATTTCTGACGCCCCGTAGTTTGAGGAAAAACGGCGGTGGTTATTACAGCATAATTATAATGAAGTGGCGAGAATGGGGTGGGCGTGCAGTAGTGACATTCTTGCGTTCACACGTAAAAACGGATTTCTCTGCTCTTTTTTTTCTTCTTCTTCGCCGGCAAATCCACTTCCTTTCTGTGATTTTAATTCCGCCACCCGCTGAGTATTTAAGTTCAGCAAGTGCCAATTTATTTTCCGTTGAGTAAACACAACAATATACCTTGAGAGAGAGAGAGAGAGAGAGAGAGAATTCCAGCAAACCTCTCGCGCTCACCGTGAAGTGTGGATAATTCCTTTCTCACCCACTTCATCCGCCCACTTTTCTTTTCTTCCTTGCAGATCGCCGCCAGGACAGATACGAGGTGACGATTCGACTCGGTAACTCATCACTTTTTCTTGGAGGCGATAAGGGCAACAATATCTCGACGACATCCACAAAGAGAATCAATACAGTGCTCTCGAACCATTTGGAGAAATACGTGAGTTTTTTTTCCTTCTTGCTTCCTTGCTCGTCTTTATCTGTCGCCTTTTGACGCTGTTTAGGTGAAAAATTGTGGGTGTGTTTTCCTTCCCACCCACATTCTCAGGGTCACATTCATTGCCCAGGATGGGCATCAGAAACTCTGGATCGCAAGCAATTCATATCTTTAAGATTGCTTGGCGTATAGAACAAAAGTGGGCGCTTGATGAATAAGATGAGAAAGATCTTGGCATCCTAAGCTGACCTCTCCTCTTTAATACTTCTTGATTGCGCTAAAATGCGATTAATCCGAATCGAAGGAGGCATTCTGGGGTTACTTGAGACTGAAGAGCGTCCAAAGAAAACTCTATACAAAAGCCCTGAACGGTGAAAAGGCCGTAGGTTAATGATCTTTTGATAAATCAATGTATTCTGCATTCTCATGTGTCCTCTTCAGCTCCGCCCTGATCCAATTCCTACATGGTTTCGAGCAAAGTTCAAAGGACTTTTTGTGCCCCACCAGGAAGAGAGAGAGAGCTCGCCAGTGTATCTCAAAAATGTGTGCGATTTACAAGTTTAATTTAACGAGCGAAGGGATTTTCAGTCCATGACATGGCATATTGAGTGTATATTGTGTATTTTCTCTGGTGGATCAAAAGCACGACAATGGCCTTTCGCAGATAAATTCACAGCTAGACAAAAAATTGTCCAGGCCCACCCATTGCAGCCCCCTTTTGGGCCATCGCCACGCAGAGCGGAGCAACCCTTCTATCGGAAGCGCTCAGCGTTTTTCATGGCTCTCAAACCCTCTTGAGCGCTTCCAAAACCACCCTCGAAAGCCAACGCTTTCGCCCAATTCAGTCCTCGTTGTCCCATAAAATTTCTGACTCTGTGGAATCTTTTTGGTGCAATAAAAATAAATTGTCATCATACACTCATGCTCTCTCGCTCTGTCCGGATGTCTCCATATACCAGGGCATCCACGCTCGCATTGAGGGCGAATAAACCCAAAATGAAATGTCTTCCCTTCGAACAATCCACTTGAAATATTCAGCCAGAGAACAGGAGAGCATTCGCTCGCCCAGAACATATCATATAGAAAATGATACCATTTAATTCATTACCCAGCATTCTGGTGGCGAAGCGAACCATTCAAATGAGAAAATTCCATCTTGCGAGTCTTTTTTTTTCGTGCGAATTTCTCACACAACATTTTCCCCCTCGAGGGCGCTCTTTTTTTTATTTTTCACTCTGGCAGTGAAATTGACGGGAAAAGGCGAGTTTTTAGGCAATATTTCAGCACAAACATGGAAAAAAAAAATTAATTTTCTCCGTCCATTTAACGCTGAGCGTATTAGAATTGCGTAGATTCTATTTGGTCGATTTAAGCATAGTAATTAAATGAGTATTTATTCACTCATATTAATAGCTTATTAAGCACTACAAATAGGCAATTTTGGGACGAATCATTTTAAATTGGAAATCTATTAAACAAAATCAGTGTAGGTAGAATTTGGAAATGTTTACATTAAAATGAAATTCTCCATAATTATCGGACATGAAATATTTCACGTTGATTATTTTGATATTCAAAAGTGGTCCCAGAATTTTCACCACTTCTCAAAATATCCCGAAGCATTGAATAATTTTGCGTCATTTGTCCTATTCAATAGTTTAGCTATTTGTATTACTGTCACTGAAAGGTCACAGAGAGCAGATGTAGAGGCAAAATCTCCGGCATCATTACTTTTTGCATCACCAGAGAACCAGCAAATAAATCTTCATTTTCCTCCAAATAGAATAGATTTAGCACTTGTGCCTGATTTATATAATCTCTCCTGTCGTCAGGCAAATAGATTAAATACAGAATTCAGAGAAGATGCTTTGGGAACTTTCTATAGACTGTAGAATTAATCACTATTTCGAGTGTCTTGAGCTTGTCTTAATGCCATTGAATCTTACACTCATACCTCAAGATATTTTATCGTCCGCACAAGATGTGTTAATAATCTAATAAGCTCTCACGTGTACAGTTTCCATCTCATTGGTCACTTTCAAGAGCAATTAAATTCCAGAATAAACACACATTTGCCTAATCCGTATGTTAATAAGAATTTATAGGTTGATTTTATGCTCAAAAATCCATCAAATTTGGTCGATTTTTTATTCTACCTCTTCGTTGAATGCCAGAAGAGAAGTCAAGAGAGAGAGAGAGTCTTTTTGAAGTAATTTTAAATCAACAAAAACAGTAAAGAAGTAGGAATTTGCATAGCGATAAGGGGCAAATGTTTATGTTGAGTTCATCAAAAGCTGAGAAATGTCAATAGAAAAATCATGTGCAAGAAAAACAACATCTCTGTCCCCATCGCCGTCAAAGAGCCGTAAAGAAAGCAAATAAGGCCATAATCAAAATATAACATTCATGTAATGGGGACTATTGGTAAAGATTGCTTATCTTATAAATTGATATTAGCTCTTTGGTATTATTATTGTATTGCTAACATAACATTATCTCTGTACACAGGCTCTGGGGTTCGCTTTGAGGGTAGGTTTGATTGAGTGGAAACTCACAAGGGGTCAGCATTTGATTGTGTTCGGAGGTGAGCTCGATTGTGCATAAATTTATATTCCGGAAAGCACCTGCCTGCTAAATTAGGTCTGCATATGAAATTTGAAAACCTCAAGATCCCCTCCATGCCAATTGGGGGGCTGATGTGAAAAGACGCTCCGGCAGAATTCGTCACGTGCAAATGAAGAAACACGGAATTTCGTGAGAGAATTGAGATGTGGTGCTTTCTGCCGTGGTAAGGGATAATAGTAATTGTGTGCGCGCGCGGGGGTGAAGAAAAAAAAAGGTGGAAGAAATTCTTCTTAGAGACCGCGCTGCAAATTGCGCTGGGGACGGGTTTCATCATCGTCAGGGGAGAGATATTTCTCAATGGTCTCCCGCCATGGCTGGTAATTGAGTCGATTGGATGACAACGTGGAGCAGAAGATACACCTTTTCCCTCCCCGTTGAAATATGTCTCATGACGAAATTGTTATATTTCACTTGCGGCGCTGGATGAGAAATCATAACTGAGTGTATAATTTATATTGAAGCCTTAGCATTCTGTGCAGCTCCTGCCCCTTCGCCAAGAGAGACTCCAAGAAAATTGTCTCTGTCGTGCTTTACGTTTCCTTGAGAATTTCCTTTTTGCCAGCACAAAAAGACTGTCCCCAACGCTGAGGAAATAATATGACCCGAAGACTTGAGATGTGAGCAGAATTGCAAAGATAGAGGAGAGACAGGCCATTTAGGACACTTGAAGAGTGCATTTTTAAAATTCACCGCAATGGAAAAACCCCCAATCAACTCCTCTGATAGTTAATCCTGTGCGCGCATTATTCAAAACTTGATTCAATTTGAAACTTTTTTCCCCCATCAAGTTTGACCATCATTTCATGAATATATATATCTTGAAAAAACTTTCAAGTTGAAAAACATTTAGCAGAGCCATTCGTGAGCTGAAGAATCCCTTTGAAATTCTATCTGAGATCTGAAAATTCCGGTTTCTGCCAACTCTCACGTCTAATCCTGTTTCCATTGAGCGCCGCCACTCAAAAGGGACACTGGTACATTTGGCTGGAAATACAATTTGAGTTCCAACGTATGCAAATTTCCACATGAATTCCGTCTCGTCGTGGACTTTTTTTTTATTTCTCCGTGTGCTCTGTGAAAGTAAATGCGTGTTAAGCGATTTTCCGTGGAAATTCACACCCAGAAAAGGGAAGATAATTACATTCAATCCTAATTAGCACATTATCCTGTTTTTCAGGGATGAAATTATGACGCTCGCAACTTGATTACGCTTTTTTTTGCGCGCGGCGCATTGCAAGAATTAACCTTCCACCCCGAGATCAGACAGTCGTAAGGGTGTCTCTCTCTTCTTCTGGGCAGAGGAAAAAAAATCAGTCTAATATACATTCGGAAAAGGGACAACATCCAAGTCCATTCATGGGCATTCGCAGTGTAATTTCCCATCGCGAATCTTTGCTCTGTGCCTCAATTTAATTTCCTCAGACTCCCCAATTAAACACTTTTCTTCGCGATAATTTTAATTAAATTAAATATCCTCAAACCATGCGATAGGGGCTGAGTTTAGAAGGTGCCACGTCCATATTGATTTCCTTGGCAAATAGAAAAAGGGGGGAATTCTCAATTAGACGAGCTGAAAGATAATCAATTTTCTTATTCATCACCATACTTTGCCACCCAGAGACTCGCCAGGCCGTATAATTATTCTTATAGCTGCCATTATTGTTATTTCCCTTTAATTATGTCGCCCTTTATTATTATATTTATACAATTTCTTTCGCAAATCTCCCCTCAATCGGAGAATACAAACTGCCCTCTAAAAAGTTCATTTCTCCGACACATTTCACCATTAACAACTCCAGATACTTCAACACTTGATACAGCAAACATGAAGATTGTGAAAGTCAAAAGAGAAAATCCGCGATGTAGCGGTGAATTTTAATTTTCACCCCAAAAGAATTCACCGACAAAGTCTGTGTGTTTGGCAATTAAGAAGGTAAATCAGGATTACAGCAGAGAATTCGGTGTTATAATCGTATTTCCACCTTGGATAAGAAAAAGTCCTAAATAGGTCGTGCCAAGGGGGAGATAATACAGTCAGAAGTGGTGTACAACTCAGCAAGAGTACTTAAGAAGTGAAAGTGTTGAAAAACCTACAATATTCCTTTCCTGAGTGCCTCTTTTACTGAATAATCATTTCAGATTCTCTGAAATTCCTTTGATTTTCACACAGAAACAAACGTAATAATCTTTTTCTAGGTTATGTAACGAATTAAAGACAGATTTTTTGAATAAGTCGCATTGTCCTTGGCAGAATTGAGAATTTGCAAGCAATTAACAGTGCTTTTTTATCCTTTGATACTAAGAAACACTGTAAATTGTGCCAAGATTGAACATAACCTCAAAAATAGTCATTTGGACTTGGAAAATGTCCATTTAGACAACTTTCTGGGTCATTTTGACTGTGAATCAGCAATTTTAAGATTATTGGCTAATCATAAGAGATGATTTTGTGATCTAGAAACCTTTCAAACTGAATTTTTAAAGATCTCTTGGTGATATTTTGAGGTTATGGTCGGAAAAGTTGTCTAAAAACAGCGGTTTTTAGTCGATTTTGATACAAATTTCGAATAGAACCTTAATTAATGTGGAAACAGACTACAAATTTCATGCTCTAGAAGTGTCAGGCAAATTTGGAAGTGTCTAATGCATATTATCTCCCCCTTGGGTCGTACAAATACCAAATCTTAATTAGACATCTCTTCTCTTCTATCACTTCTGCGTCGCACAATGTCTTCCCACCATCTTCTCCCGGAGTTGGGGTGAATGACCTCTCTAAAGTTCCGAAACATAGCACCAATTTTTAATCTCACATCTATTTTTGGTGCTGAGCCAAAGAGCTCAAACTTATAAATCAGGGGAAACTTTTGGCAAGCGCCTTGAAAATTAGGAGAAACTCCACTGAATCTCACACTTTCGCCTCGCAATTAGGGAAGTTTACTCATTGTGACCCACAACACATTAAAGCAATATCCTCTGGCCACCTGTTTCTCCCAATCTACCTGTAATCCAATGCCCGCCTTGGCCGGAAAACAATTCGCACTGTCATTGCGGAGCATCGAGGAATAAACAAGACGATATCTCGTTATGCTGGCGGAGATTGATGGCGGGCTTCCGACCGATATATCTATATCATTGTATATTGAAATTTGATTAGATGAGCTGAAATTAATACATTGACGAGCCATAATGCGAGCAATATGATTGAGTTGAGAGTTTCGTCGTAGAAATTTCTCAGAGTCTTCAAAAGTTGTTAGAAAATTCATGCTGAAATGTTTATATTCTCAAGAATTTTGAGAAACTTTCTCTGTGTAATGTGTTCTTAAGTTTCTCGAGAGATTATCAGAAAGAATTTTTGCAACAAGTTCAAACTAACATATAAGTTACTCCTGTAATTATACAAAGGCGGATAAAAGGTGTAAGAATAATCATTATAGTCAAAAGAATTTGCACATGATTTTTTTTCCGTGCTGATGTAATCAAAGGAAATTCATAGCGCGAGGTTTCTTTGTTATCCACTGCTTGGGAACTTCTTAAATCCCTGTTGAAAATAAACTGGAAGACAGTTTCTAAGTTAATGATTTCATGCTTTACACTTTCCCGGGGAAAACTTTCCCGAAAATCCTATCTTGGCTGTATTTGTTCATCATTAAAGCTGTCTCTCAACTTCGTGGAAAGTTCATTTTTCATTAAGCAACACCCACGGAGGTGTGTGACAATGGCAAGAGATCCATATGTATATTTGCTGAAGAAGTTTGTGGCCATATTGTCCTGTGATTTATTATTGAAATGTTGTTTTATGGCGCATTTGAACAAATAACGAGTGCGAAAATATCACATTTTCCCCATTATCATGCCACTGATAGTATCAACTCTCGCCCCATGTGTAATACCTTTTTGTCCCCCGCCCAAATCCCCCCCATATTTAAAATCAACATTCATTTATTATGATTGTTGACACAATATTGGGATTCATATCACACTTTGCGAACAATATAGCGTCATAGAGAATTGGGTGTAATGATTTTCTTGTTTGCACTACAATGGAATGGATTGTAATACGTCCCCGATTTTCCACCAGCAAAGGAAGGTTGAAACTTCCGACCCAGAGTGGAAGAGTTCTGTGAAAGCCGCCCACCGTCGGCTCTAAATATTGATTTTATCCGAAAGAGAAGGGTGCTTCCTAATCTCCCCTGGATTTCTTTCACATCAGATGCCTCCCAAGGGGCAATTATTATGGTCCGAAGTGCTGTAGAGCTTTTGAGGAAGATGCTTTTGTTGGGAATTGGAAGAGATGGTAAAATGTTTAGAATATTTGCATTGCAAAAGCTTCTGTTTCAACAAATTAAGGCATTTTCTAAATTATATTATTGCTTTTCTAGGTTATGTGATTGATTTTGATGATCAAAAACCTATCAAAATCATCAAATTTGTGTTTAAAACCGGAAACATTTCTCATTATCCTTGCAGATTTGAGTATTTATGCTCAAAATAACTCCATTTTGGTTGAGAAAAAGCTTAAAAATCAATCATAACCTCAGAAATATCATCTTCAGCCAAGAAGAATATTTCTTTGCTTAGGTTTCTTCCGTGGTTTGTGCTTTAAAGCGTGAAATTCATCCTCATTTCCATGAATGACTTTAAATTAGTCCAAGAAGGATTTTTTAAAGCCAAATTCATAACCTCACAATTTAGTTAGAATTCTTCGAAGCATTTTCCAAAGACAAATCTAGGATATACAGTCAAAAATATATCATGAAACAGCTGAAAGAGTCAGAAAAGCGATGGAAAATACCTTCAAAGGCATTTCTGAGGAAGTGTTTGGAAGTAGTGTACAGATTCCAGGCATAATATCTCCCCCTTGAGGCCTTCAAAGCGATTCTCTTGTCTGCAAGTTCCCTTTCAGTTCAAATTCGCCTTCTTGGTCAATCCTGCTGACATTTATAAGCTGAAGAGTTGATTTCTTTGCAGATTAATCGATTCCTGCGAAATTCCAACATCACCAATGTCACTGATTTGGCGATATCCAAGGAATTGTAAGTGAAGCCTTTCCGCTATTCTTTGTCATCATTTCACGTCTTTGCTGCGGCTTTTCAGATCAACTGGAGCAGATGTAACATTCCATTTCTTCGGGAGTGAAATGGACGGATCGCGAGTTCGCGATGCTGTCAATCGCTTAGTGGAACGAGGACGAATCGGGAACTTCACTTTGGTTCAAACATATCAATCATTTCGTCAAGAACCCGGCTTACAACTGCAGGTGAGTTTGCTGTGGTAAAATGTGATGTTCTCTCATAAAATTTCTATTCATGCAGAGTGCACCGCAACATGAATTTGCTGTCATTTAATCACTCTAATTATGTTAGAATTTCCACTGAATTTTAGCAAGTTGAATCTAATTTGCAAATTTCGGCGAAAATGTTTTACGTATTTTAGCAAATTTTCATTAGATTCACAACACAATTTTAGCGAAACATTCAAAATATATTTGCAGAAAACCTCAAAAAGGGTATCAAATTAACAGAACATAGAATTTGTCAACGCTATCAATATGTTTTATCAGTGGCATAAAATTACAGATTCGGTATAATTGAGTTTGAATTGGTTGGAATTTTCAATGTGATCAAGCGTATTCTTGCAAAAGAGTGAAATTTGAGAGGCTTTTCATGCGATTTTCATTCACTAATTCACTCTCTCTCTTGTCTTCGTGTAATTTCCAGTCGGTGGTGGTCAATCAAAAGTCTGCAATTCGCGAAAAATCCGAATTTATTTTATCATGTGTGGCTCAAGGATCGCCCAAGATGACTTTCCGCTGGTACAAGAACGGCGTCTTCATCAACATTACGAGGGCAACAAGGTGAGTTCATGCCCTATATATTGCCAAAAGCTCTCCGTCTTCAATGTGTGCTTTTTCCGGAAATATTTTCCCGTGAATGGGTAGTTAAGCTTCCATTGTGAAACGATTTTTCTCCCCCGTTTAGGGCAGTGGCGCAGTCAAAAAGGCTTCCAGCTTATCCATTCAATTAAGATATACAAATCGAAACCATCTTCATTTTTCCATCCTCACTACGCCACTGTACTGCATAAAGCGACTATAATCCTGCAATATTTACGGAAATGTAATGTTGTTTGGGGTTGTAAGCAAAGAAATGTAATCCCCGAAGTAATTTCACTATGCATGAAGAAACTGTCTCAAAAGTACAATTTCAAGTTTCTCAAATGACAAGAAATCACAAAGAGCGGCATTTCCATGACAATGGGTCTCAGCGAAAAGAGTCACTGTGCACGAGAGCCCCAAAAGGGGATTCTCGGTATTTAGTGGGAAAATAAATTTAATATGTAAAATACTGGGGGTACTTTTCTCTGTCGCCACAAATCAACAATATATCTTCATTGTCATGCTGAAGAGAATTTTCTGGGTAGACAACATTTTATGTGAAATAGCTGTGAAATTGCAACAATTTCTCCCTTCAAATTGCATTTAATTTTAAAGGTGAAATTTGTATGCAAAATTCTCTCCACCATTTTAAAGTCGCACTCATCCAGAGGCTGTGCAACAGATTCTTCATCTAATATACAATTGTTTAACGAAAAGAAAACAGAAGTGTGGCGAAAAACAAGCAAATTAATGATTCGACTCGCAAGTGTTGTCGAAGAAATCCATTAAATGCTTTTAGCACAGCGCTTAATTGATTAATGATCTGTTGCTTTTTCAATTACCAAAACTTTTGACGGACAATTTTCAAGTGTCGAAACGGAGGAAAATCACCAAAGTCAATAAATACATCTCCATTAATTTCCTCACCGAACTTGCGAGTATCATATTTTCACATCGCGACAGGGTTACGCGGACGTTGTCACAGACTTGTCCCAGCAAATAATGCGATTTTAATTTAATTTATCATACTAATGGACTACAAGGAAATTTCCTTTCAACCACTGCTAATCAAGAGTGTGGCAGATTGGTCGCAAGGGGTTGCTAATATACAGTGTCAAAATCTTCATTTATTTTCGTATTTATTTTAAAGAAAGATTTCGGCATTCTCAATAAAAAAAAAACAGATGTTTTTTCTTAATTTTTTTCAAAATGTAATTATAAAATTATTGTATAACATTTTGAAAGAGTAGAAGACGAATTTCTCAACTTAAAAGCTTGCAAACACCGCAATGAATAGACAACATTGCTTAAACAGTTAATCTTCAATCGAATATTTACGGTTTTATGCAAGGTTATACGTTAAAAACGTATGTGGCACTGGAAAAACTTCCTAAGCTTTGCAAAAACGAGAATCTGTAAAAATGCTAAAATCGCAAAGAGTTCTTTGATCGTTCAGTATTTATAAGTTCTTCTTAAAGTTTACCACAATTTTCGATTTAGATTTTTCTCTTTAAGTATTTGCACATTAGTCACTCAGAATATATTTCCTTTGCACAATTCAAAACTAAAAATAATATTTTTTCTCCTTAATTTTTCACCTTTTCCTCATTGTGATCCTATTTTCTAAGATGTTTGAATTCTGAATAGAACTTTCTTCAAAATGACGAAAGGAATCACGATGAAGCGAAGACGAAATATGCTGCGGCACTCAAAATCTTTATTGGAAACCCCCTGGATTGTGTATCCATTCTTGTATGGCGCCAATGGGGTTCAGTATATCCGTGATGGAGTGACCAATGGGGAAAGCTTTTCAACTATTGTGCTTAAAGTTGATAAATTCCCATTTAAATTCAAATTCCTCCGCTGAAAAACGATGTCCACAGAGTGCAGTCCTCTTGCGTAACCGCCTTAGTGAGACACCTTCATAATGCTATCACGTATGCGAGTGCTTTGGTGACAAATCCCTTTTCCCACGTAGGATAACACTTTAGTTCGCCGTCGTTGCCTCTCGAGTGCCGCACAATATCTCAGCGTTATTTCAATTAAGTCAATTTTAGCAGCAATTTTGTATAGCTAATCGGTTTGAGAGTGTCGCAGGTGAGGTTATTTGATCAGGCTTGGGTGTACAAATTACCATGCATGCGCTATATATTCCCGATATATTTCTTCGTTAATTTTGAATCACATGTTAATTCATTTGATCGTAAATAACACGCTTACAGCGTTTATCCCTAATTACATGACATTGCGTATAAATTGTAAACAGAGTTTTGCCAAAATCTACTAATTAAAACTCACCTATGTACATAAACCCTTAAGAGATCGAATTATGTCAAAAACCACCCTTTATACACACATTCCTAGGGAAAATCGAAAATGTTTAATTAAATTCATTCACGCAGTTACACAATCTGATTCCCTATTGTGTGGCCGTATTAAAAATTCAGCGCCTCGTGTTCTCAACTCTCAGCCGACTCGGAAAAGTTTCGGTGGGGATTTTCCCAGAGCTGATAGCAAAAGGTGGGACTTTGCCAGTGTTGGGAGGAATGCATGGTATTAAAGTATTTTCCTCTAGACAATGATAAGCAGAATAAATGGAGCTCTTGCAGAGTGGAAAACACTTAATAATGCAAGTCCATAATATTGTGGAATACTCAAAATTCACCCATTTTCATGCACACTTTATTTAGGTTTTGCAAAAACTAAGGAAATACTTTAATCCTTTTCGGCCAAGTTTTCAAACTTATTTTCGGCATACATTTCAACAATTAAGAAGAAACACACAGAGTCAGTTTCTCCCAAGAAAAAAAAGCTAATTTGCAAAAGTTTTACATTGTTAAAATGGGAAATAAACTCCCGTGGAACACCTTCTACGTGAACTATAAATCGAGGAATATTCAGTTAAAAAGTTATTTCAAACTTTCTACGATAAAAGTTCGGCAAAAATAGAAAATTCCTTAATTGTGAATAGCATACATTATACGGACAGAATTGTCGAAATCCACCAAGTTCTCCAGTCTCTGTTAAATCTAATCCAATTCCAGTGTATCTTGAGGAGAGTCACAAAAGGGATGCAATGCTCAAAGCTATGACCAGAATGGGTATAACTTCCTCTTTATATATATATAGAAGCACTTTATTGCGGTTTCTCCTGTCCTTTACAGCACTAATTTAGTGGTGAGTTGAAAGGTGTAATTTGCACCCCAGGCAAGCGCTCAGGGTGAATGAAGGAGCACAGAAGAAGACAACTTGCACATCTTTTCATTTCCACCCGGACTCACCACTCACTGCTCCTCTAATATGGGTTTTATGTTTTATTAGACTGTTTTACGTGCTGCCCCACACCCAATTTCTGGCTTTTTTTTCACCTCTCCAGCAGCGTTAACTCTCCAGCAAACTCCCGTACAGTGTTTGCAATGGTCCTGATGAACGCTAAATGGAATTATAAATTAAGGGTGGTGCCTTGTATATTTCACAACAAAAGAATCAAGCGCACAGCATAGTTTCTCGTCCTTCTCCTTCAGAAGTGCTTAAATACATTTACATTCTATTGCACATACAGAGTGTAATGTTATAAATTTTAATGACCCTTCTTTTCTGTATAATCTCACGATAGATTCCCTTTCGCGCCATTAAATATTCTTTATGTGGCGGTGTTTTCACCTAAAGTGCGTTACATTTAATTAAATAATTTCTAGTTACCAAAAGTCTCGCACCCTTTTCAAAATCCACTCACAATATAGTCAAATCAAACACATATTGTCGCTCAAGAATTGAGTCATAAAACTATGTGTATAACACACTATTGAGCATCCAATGGATGTGATAGATTGGTGAGAAAGGTCCTGCTGAAGGACTCTCTGTAAAGAGTGTAAATATAAATTAATTTTCCTGCCATTGGCAGACAAATCTGCCAGATGTAACTTTTTTATGACACTGAAAGGCAAATAAATACCATATTCTGTGCGTGTTTGTGAGCATTTTTGCTAAAATTGCTCATTTCACAGCTTTTTAAATGCAAATTTTCCACTCCCGCAGCCAATCGGCAGCTTTAATTGGCTGGCAAAAAGCTCAGGCAAAAGCTGTACGTGCGATGATTCGGACTTCTCTGATGGCGTCGCGGCACTTGGCAGCCCCAGAAATAAATTGAAACCCACCCAAAATCAGTGGCTCAAGGTTAAAAAGGTTATTGGCATGTATACGAGTGATTGACTGCCTCGGGGGGTCTTCCAAATATTTATGAATAAATGAGGAGCACAAGTGGGCCTCCTTTTGAGTGGTGGAGAGTTGTTTGTGTTTAAAAAAAATGACTCTCCGGATAATTTAAATAGGGATGAAGAGGTGGATAATGATAAAAGAGATTTTCGCTGCCCGCAGTTCCAAAAAGCTCCCGGAGTCAGACGGGGGAGAAAAAAAAATGATATCTGTGGCTTTGCTCGCACATTCTCATGTTCTCGCATTTGAGCTTTTGCGGTGCCGACTGAACTTTTCGCGTTTGCGGGGCGGCGCGCAAAACTTTTCTCCCATGTTAACCCACATTTTTTGGAAACAATTAATTGTGTAGGTTTTTCATATTTCCCCCCCCTCGCCATCGAAATAATTCACATGAAAGTCACAGTGGGGCGCAAATGCAATTAATTTTGCATGATATTGCTCCACTCGAGTGGGCTAAAGTGGAGATAAGCATCATTGATAGCCACTAGAAAAAAATCCAAATGGCAAGTTTCAGAGATGAAAAAAGCCTTTTCGGGTTAATTCTCTCATCTAAGAGCTTCAGACTACAGTCTCTGGTCATATCTTCACCGCAACCTTGGCTTGTGAGTGGGCGAAAGAGAGAGAAAAAAAAGCCAAAAAACCACCCCCATTTCCACTCCCCACACAGATAGCTGCACGTCAACTACAAAGAAGGGAAAAATACTTGGGAAAATAATCAAGAAAAGTATTTGGCTTGGAGCAGAATGAAAGTTAATAACGGCACAATATTTTGCCAAATTGATTTTTTCCACTCCATCTGATTTTTCCATTTTTTTTTTCATCGTTCGCAGGAATATGTGGACACGTCTGCTCCCGCTGGATTCGAAAAACCATTACACAGCCCTACTGGGAATATCCAAGACCAGTCGCCTGGATGAGGGCCTCTACACTTGTCAGGTAAATACAGCGACCAGGGCTTTTGCTCATTTCCGTGGCCGGAATATGAAGATAAACGAGACGACTTGAGAGAGATATTCGCTTTGGCATGTGCGCTGAAAGGCGTCTTACGTGCCACTATCATTCGCACGGTGGGACGGAAAAGTGAAAGACATGACTGAACCACATGAATTTCACCTATGAATCTCAAAACCACTGCCAAATGGGGTACATTCGGAGGGTGAGAAGTACGTTGGCGAAAAGTATGCACTTGAATAAATCGGACTAACAGAGGACTGAAACAAGGGGCAGATATTATAGTCAGAAGTGGTGTACAGCTTTTATGGAAGTGTTAGGAACTAGAAGTGGTAAAATATTTGCGCTCCAAAAGCTTCTGTTTCAACAAATTGGGGCATTTTCTAAATTATTTCGCTAAGAAAAATCCATTTTATTGATTTTCTAGGTTATGTGATGGATTTAAAACAGATTTGGGTGTTCAAATAACACTCAAAATCACCGAAATAGTGTTTAATCTGGGAATATTTCACTTTCTCTCTCGAAATTTGAGCATTTGTGTTCTAAAAATGGTCAATTTACAGTAGAAATCAGCTTGGAAACCCGCCATAACCTCAAAACGTCATTTCAGTCGCGGAAAACGTTTCTTTTCTTGGTTATTTCAGTGTTTTGCGTTTTAAAGTGACAAATTCAAACTCATTATTCTGTAAAAACATTGTAATATTCGCTGTATTTATTCATTTCCGGATTTAAAATGATTAAAATTAGTTGAAGAATGACTTTTACGACCGATTCATAACCTCACAATTCGGTCAGAATTTTTCTGATGTTTAAACTCCCGATGCAAAATGCCTTCATAGACCTTCAGACATGTCTGAAGTGTTGAATATTCTGGAAAGAAACAGATTCCAAGCATATTAACCTTCCCCTTGGAATGTAACACTTCTTCATTTATTAAAAACAATCTCCCTCGCATTTCTCTGAGTGCATCTTCAGGCTTTCCGCTATGACTTATTAAACACTCAAAGCTCTCTAAAGTGCAGCTTGAAGATTGCTGATGGAGCTGTGGAATATTCATTTAAGGTGCCATAAACTATAAAGCAGCGACAGAGCAGTAATTTTTGCCACAAACCATTCACTTCACAAAGTTCTGTGTGTGCAGCTTTCACTTGGCCAAATTATTCACCTCCTCGTATGATTTCCACGTTGCCCTATAATTATTTTTAATGAATAAATCCTCAGTGCTACATATGTATGGTCAACAATTTCCTGTTCAGCACACTTCCATGGAAATTGCTTTCTGCATAACGCTCAACACACACACACATGAGCAGAATGTATATTCCATATTTTAATTTAAAAGTTGTGCTTTTCATAACAAGGGGATTTGGCAAATTCTGCGCTGCACCATTCTTACCCAAGTGGCAAAAAGGTAAAGAAATATCTTTTTTCCACGCTCTGGGTGATGTTTTAATTAAGGAATATGAGATATGTTTTGAAACAGCGCGCCAGCTTTCTTGCAAATCCGTCTGTGTAAATATTTGTATGGTAATGTTTTACAATATTTTGCAGATGAAAACTATAAATTTCATTCCGGGCTCACGGAAAATATAATATATGAATCTTTTCACGTAGAATCCTTTTCTTAATAAGGGAAAAGCCTGGAGATTTAAAAACAAACAGCTCCGTATTAATTAAATCAATGTGAGCTTGAGTCAATATCAAGGGGGAGATAATATGGTCAGAAGTGGTTTACAGATCAGGAAATATTTTAGGAAGTGGAAGTGCTTCAATTTATGCCATATTTCATTCACAATTTTGAAGTTCTGTTGACTATTTACCCTCAGAAATTAATTTTCTGTCCAAGTCTTTATTTAGTCAAATATTTCTAGGTTATGTGACTGATTTAAGACACAATTAAATTTTAAAGTAGTAATTCAGGCGCCTAAACTGAAAGTGTTTTGCTTCATTAGGAAAAAAATTGCGCATTTTCACTCAATGAATGAAAATCGTGATTTTGGGAAAAAAATGCTAAAATCAAACATAACCTCAATTTTTCTTAATTAACTTTTTCGTTTGTGATCAAGAAAAATGCGCAAAAGTGCAATTTTAGTGGAAGAAAAACAAAATATAGTACAAAAGCGTAATTTTTAAAGTTTTCAGTTAGTTTTTGGTTAGATTTAGGTTAGATTATAGTCATATTGTTGTAAGATTTCAGTTAGTGGTTGATTATAGTCTTGTATTAAGCAATTCAAGAAGTCTGACGTCCTGGAAAATGTTAAGGACTTTTTCATACAAATTGTGGAAGTGTTAGGAAGTTGTGTACAGATTTCAGCCGTATTATCTTCCCCTTGGTCAATATTTTCGACCAAATTGACCTTTCAAAACACTTGCATAACAAGATATCTCGATTGGCTAATCAATCAGTTATTGCAATTCCCAGGAAAACCAGAAGCATTTTACACAATGCTCTCGAAGCTCTCGCTTCAGATGAATTAATCCCTGAACAACCTTGCGTTCACTGATGTATGCATGGAAATTTCTGGTAATTTGAATGTAATTCATGGCAAATAATGATCACTTGTTAGGTGTTTATATGTGCATACTTCATTTAAATGAGTATCTAGCGTAATAGGATTTTGCGCTAAACCCGGGCAAAGAGGGAATTGAAAGCATTGTTTACCAACTCTCGATGCGCGGTTTTTTGTCCATTTGATGCACGGAATGACGCGTGGGCGGAAAAAGGTTGATTTTGGGAGGAATTTCTGGCGCGCTCACATTGGAATTTTATTCGCAATGGAGAATTGGAATGTCTCTGCTGTTTTATTCCTTCGCACATCATACGCAGACGATTAACTTTATGTCGACAGATAACATACATTATTTATGGTGATCCATTGAAAATTTATAAACGACAGTATTTTGCCCTGGTTCTTGAGGAAGCCCTGGAAATGTCCGTGACTTTATTATTAATGGTGCTTAACTCACTATAGCCACTGGATGGAGTCTTAATCCTACGGCCATATAGCGTTTCACGTCTCGCAAGTCCGTATGGGGAATACGAGAAGGTCATGTCAGAGAGTCCATTAATTTTTCTATGTGTCATATTGCGTAGACATTTATTACCGAGTCGGCAACTTTAGTTGTTGGTTCTGCAAATTTTACTAACTATTAAATGTATGGCGACGTGCCATTTAGGGCCATGAGGAAATGTTCATTTCAGACACCCACGCGAAAAACTGAGGGTGTTTTGATGGGAAATCTCGCGAAGATGGCGAGAGCTTTTGAATTTGTTATTTTGCACACGTGTCACACGAAAATCCACCCAAAGGGGTTGAATATATCGCATTGGGGGTGAGTGAAAGTGGCAGAAAAGTCGTATAGATGTTCCTGCACGATGATAAATTTTCATTTTAGCACTAATGATATCCCGTGACACTATCTTGAGAATATTCGAGGAATGATAACCGTTGGAGGAAAAAGCAATTATATGAGACACAAGAAATACTTTTGTGCAACTTCATTATGTTGAACAAAATATATATAGAGAGAGTGAGGGAAATTTTCGCTTTTCCTCCTTATAAATTCAAACCAGGACTCTCTGTACAATCATCTTCTCGCCATGGTTGCAGTCAAAAGTCCGAATGATGGACTGAAAACTTTTCCACTGACTCGCAGTTTTAACTTTTGTGCTGCAAAAGTGTGATGGAAGATATTTCTAGCGCGAGGCACGTAGTTATCGTGCAACTTTAATCTTCAACAGCCACCTCAAGACTCCAAATGCAGGCGAGCAAAGTCCCGAGGATATCGCTTATTTGACTTTTTCACTCTCACTCTCAGTCAATAGCTCGTGCTTTATCTCTTAATTAATAGAGAACACATAATTAAATGCTTAATACCGTCAAAATTAGTTGTACAATTTCACATGTGAGAGTGACGTGAAGTCACAATTATTTACCACCCCAGGACAGCTCACCCCATCTACAAGGGGAGTAAAAAGTAACACCTGAGATATGTTCACCGGCTTCTCGGCCGAAGACAGCTTAATAGCGTGACTTTATTAATGGCCAGGTGACAATTTATGCGCTATTCGCACTACAACAATTTATTATTTCACAGAAACACACTCTGACGCTGGTGTGGCAAAAATTCAACTCATCCACACCATGAAAACAGTCAATTTTTCCAGCAACATGTACATAAATTTTAGTTGCAAGAAATGGCACTATTGTTGTTCTGCTTCAGTCTCTGCGTTGTGGAACACAAATGGGAAACCGGAGGAATGAAAAAGAGTTTTAAAAGCATAAAATTTATCCGCCAGAGATTGAAGCGAGCATAACAGGAATTTTTATATCGCATTCCCAACAAAACTTTCACCTACAAGATCGCAGAAATAAAGTTTCGAATTTACCAAGGGGGAGATAATACAGTCAGAAGTGGTGTACAACTCAGTAGGAGTACTTAAGAAGTGGAAACAGTTCAGAAACTCACAATCTTCCTTTCCTACGTGCTTCTTATACTGACTAATCATCCAGATTCTTGGGATTTCCTTCGAATTGTACGAAGAAACAATACTTTTCTAGGTTATGTAACGAATTATTCGAATTACAGACAGATTAAGTGAATATTTCGCATTCTAGCACAATTCTCATGCGAAACTCTCACCGTTTGGTGTCAAGAAACACTGCAAATTGTGTTACAGTTGAACATAACCTCAAAAATAATATTTTGGGTTTAAAAATTGTTTGTTTAAGCCATTTTCTGCACGTTTTGAGTTAATTGGCAACTCATAGGAGACGATTTTGCCATCTAAACAGCTTCCAATCGAAATCTTTTAAGATCTCTCAGTGATATTTTTGAGGTTATGGTCGGAAATGCGCTGAAAAAAGTAGTTTTAAGTGGATTTTTTCAGAAATATCGCATGAAACCTTAAGATATTTGCGGAAACAGTCTAAAAATTTGAAGTGCTGGAAGTGGTGAACACGTTGAGAGCAATTATCTCCCCCTTGGGATTTACTCACTATCAAGGAATTAAAACAAGGGATGCAAAATTTCTGAATAAACAGAATTGAACAAGAGAATTCTGTTGCAACTCTCACTCTGCCAGGATTAAATATATGTTATCCTGTTTCATCAATTTCAATAAACTTCAGCAACCTTTCGAGACAGAAAATTGATATGACACCCTATAAAAGCATGCGGTGCAGCAAATCTGGAAGCGCAAACCGAACTATATATAGATGGTTTGAAATACAAACTTTCTAATATTTGCATAGTGAGATTGATGAATATTCCTAAATGCAATTCTGTCCACAAAAGTGCTTTGGCAAGAGCCATTTCACTCCCCTGCCATTTGACATATAGTCAAATATCAAATGCAATTTGACCGGTGGCTGTGTGAAAGCTCTTTGGCAGAAAATTTTCATTGAACGCGCTCGCAAAGTTGTATTACTTGTAAATTGAAACATATTCATGCGGAGCCGATAGACTTTGTTGGCGACACATCGCGTGGTGGTATTTCGAATGCAATCCGTCGAATGGCGCATAAAATGCATATTTGATGGATTGCTTAATGCGCGGGGCGAGTTTAGCCATTCTCAGAAGATGGTGTGTATTTATATGAGCTGACGGAGGAGCGACTTGAATAATGCATTGCACGTTCGCACGCTGAATAACAATTGTCCATCGTCGTAATGCTCTTATCCGTAGGTGGGCGATTGGGGGCGGCAGCAGTGCCAGTCGACGCTGGTCTATGTCCTGCCAGCGCCGCAGCTGAGGATCGATCCGCCCAGCGTGACTCTGTACAGAGGCGAGTCGCTCAGACTGCGGTGTCTGTCGCCCAACAATGATCACAGATACGGCCCGCTGGGCTACAGCTGGTCCAAGAACAGCCAGCTCTTCCAGTCCGACCCCGCGACGGAGTTCTGGGAGGATCTCTATCCGGACGGCAGCATCCTCAACATCCGCAACATCCAGAAGTCCGCCGAGTACTCGTGCGTGGTGTCCAACATGGTGGCGCCGGTGTCCAAGAGCGTGTACATCACGGTGATAGACAAGGGCATGGTGGAGCTCTGTCCGGCCAACAAGAAGTTCGGCGTGCAGTGGCCCGCCAGCGCCCCTGGGCCGGCCGTCCTGGCCGACTGTCCCGACCACGCCGCCGGCCAGTCGAAGAGGATTTGCGAGCAGACGGACTTCGCCAAGCCCCGATGGCTGCAGCCGGACTTCTCGCAGTGTGTGCCAGAGCATTTGGGGGCGATTTACAATGACTTCCTCGAAGTGACGTTCGGCTATCAGAGGTCGAATACGTCGGTCATTCTGCAGAACACCCTCGAGTATGCCATCAACAGGAAAATCCACTTTCTGCCCGGCGAGGCGGCTTTTCTGCTGAAAATGCTACAAGAGGTAAGTCCCACTCATGTCCACCTGGAATTGCTGTTGACAATTCGAGAGACAGAGTGTGTTTTCGAGAGATATTTACAGTTGACAAAATTGCAAAAAGAATTTGAGGTCGTCCTCATAAAATTCACTCTTTATGTTCAGCACTAAAGTCTCAAAATAGACTCGAAGACTGGTATTCAGGCTCAGAGTTTATGTGGCATTTTGCAAAGTGTTTTGTCCAGAGAAAGAGAGATAGAGAGAGAGAGTCCTTAATATGATTGCATTGATCCAGCAATCTCGCAATCTCTCGCATGTCAATGCAATGAAACTGCGCGAGAAAAGCGAAGGTCGTAAAATGCAAATTTGATTTATATTTCCCCACACAGATTCACGATTATTTGGACGAAGTTGGATCGCAATGCGAGCGTGACATTGCATCGGATACGACTCTTCAAATTCTCGACATCATACTGAAAAATGAATTTTCCATCAACAATCAGCAGGTCAGTTACTCTTCACTCCTTTTCCAATGTCACTGAAAATGACAATTATTCAGTGAGAGCGCAGCAATTTGCTGTCGAAGCAGCTCGAAAATATGTATATTGTGAACTTCGTTTTCCATTAAAAATTAACATTCAATTTGTCCCGATGCCCGATGTCTAAATATTTTATTCAATTACCATTCAGCTATGGATATAATGTGGATTTTCAGTCATGATTTAATTATTAATTTGCTCAATTTCATCAAATTATTCATCATATGCATGTGTGTAGATTGTGCAGTGACACTCTTCGGATAATTGACTTGTGGCACTTTCCAATCTATTTTGACCCTTTCTGTTCTCTTTTTTTTCCTACAACGTCAGCAAGTGAAACATGTCCAGAGGTTATTCCTCATGGCGGCATCGAATCGGGAAAGTGTGGCAACGTCAGGACCGAAATTGGCCGCATCAACGTCCAACCAATTGAGCTCATTTCGTTTGCACAACACGCCCGTTAAGGCCTTGCCATTCGAATTGCAAATATCTGGGTAGGTAAACCATGCATAGATCATGGCACAATTTCCCGATTTTCCCAGCCACATTTTTCACCCATGTGAGCAGAGTTGGATACGCATAAATCACCCATGATAAACACATTTCCCAGTGACGAGAGTAATTCCCGGCGCATTTTCCCAGAAATTCATGAGATTCGGGAAATGGTTCAAAGGAGAATTATAGCAAAGTCACTGAATGGAAAATGATAATTAAACTGCTATCGCGGACTATTCAACTCTGTGTTGATGAAATCCATAACATTTTTCCAAGAACTTAACAAAGGCCTCGTTGCAAGATTACTTTCATAGCATTTAAAATAAGCTGTTAAAAATAGGAATCCGTAAAAAAAGGCGTTGCAAGATTACGATTTATAACTTTTACGAGATCTGAAAGTGAAGTCAATTCATATATTTCATCGCTTAAAGACAAGATAAGCCGGAAAATTAACGTGAAAATCAAGGAAATAGACAATAATTGAATTTCTAGGTTGATCAGGAAAGATTTATTGCAGTTTTCTGGCCATTTGTGCACATTTCAATGCACCAAATTGAGGTTATGTCCTTCAAGACATCCTTTCCATGGAAACTTATGGGCAGAAACTGGGCAGAAGTTTAAATATTCTACCCTAAAAACACCCTCAAAGAGAAAATCTCGCACTTTTCCGCTTCTAAAAACTATCCGCAATAAAGTGACTTTCTGACACCTGAAATTCATATTAAATAAAGTTATGAAAACGTAAAGTTGCAACGACGCCTTAATTTTCACTCTCACAATTTTTTGGCACTGACTCAACATTTCCATCTCTTCTCTGGCATAAATGCCACCTGATAACAGGGATCAGCTGTTCTCGGATCAATTGTACTTGGAAATCAACAAGGGCACGACGTCCCTTCTCGATTTCATCGGCAACTCATCCCTCTCCGTCACTGTAATCTCATACAGGAACCTCACGAGCTTTCTGCCACACATGTACATCACTCGGAATAGGTAATGTACATCGCACTTAACCCCTTGAATTCCGCCACAGCTTCCAGCTGGCCTTCGGCTCGACGCGCGTTGGCATGCTGGAAACCATTTCAGGCTTTATTTATTCGTTTATTACAAACAAATATTTGCACCATGAGTGGTTTTGTATTTGGCTGAAGAGTGAAAAGAATGAGCAGCGCGCAGAGGGAAAAAAAATTCACTTGCCATATCACTTTGTTGCCATTGCGATGGTGAATGAGAAAAAGCGCTCAGGGAGGGAGAGGGTGTGGGAAAAAAGGGTGGCGAGCTTTATTTAACAGAAAAACCACACATCCGCGGTTCTGCGCCGAGGAGAATGGGTGAAATGTACATTGCGGCTGTTCCTAGGCGAGCAAGAGAACCTCACAGTGCACCTCATTCGGCTTTTCCAGCCACTCCGCGATGCTCTGGTAGTATTTTCTTTGAAAAATTGTATACTAAGGCGAGATAATAGACGCGCGCGCGGAGGAAATGAATTTTCTAGGAGAAAAATTGCAATTTTATATGGCAGAGAAGATGCAAAAGACGGACAGTGATGGGAAATTTAATGAAATTTGACACTTATTGCTTTCATAAATGGATTGAATTGTTACAAATTTCAGACAGAAGCCCAAGAGAAAGAGGTCAGTTGAATATTAATTCTCTCCAATTTCACAGGACTTTTATGCAGATTTTAGAGATCCTAAAACAGCTCATCGTGTGCCAAAATTGTGTTTTTAACCAAATTGGAAGCGATATTCGTGGAATGCTGGGCAATAAAATTGATTTCCCCCAAAATTCATTCAGACACACCCGAAAACATATAATTGAAAATCTCGATGATCCTGAAAAATGCTCTCTCTTTCCCCCAAAAAAAAAGGAAAAAGTGAGACAATTTAGGGGGGAAAGAAAAGCACAACAGACTTTTATTAGTTTCTTTATAGTTCTCTCTTCTCTGGCAGCAATTTTACAGATGTTGATTTCCTCCCATCTCGTTTCACGACATTTGACTTTAAACTATCTTTCTCCAGAACCTCTGGAGGCAAAATGTGTGTGGAGAAGTTATGCAATATGAGAAAATTTCACTTGCTACACAATATATTCAAATTTCCATGCTATGGAGATGACAAAAGGTTGAATTTCAAGGTTTTGCACGCGGAGTTTGAGGCAAAATCTTGCTTGGCTTCACACAATTATCTTCTATTTTATGAGAGAATCGCGGGGTAAAAATCCCAACCGAAGTAAAATGGTGTTTTTCTTAAAGCAGCCCAAAAACTTTAAGTGCGGCGCGCAAACCTTCTTCACACCAGAATCTCATTTTTTTGGCACAAGATTACCATTTAGAGAATTCTTCGATGTTTCATATTCCGCGACTTATAAATATTTAAAGCAGATGCGTGCGAGTCGATGCTACCATCGCAATGAAGATGGGATAGAGTGGTTGCGAAATGATGGCAGCTGAGGAGATTTTGCACAAGATTAGATTTTTCCCATTTTTACTTCAACCCGCATATCGCCACGAAACGGAAAAACGCAAGGAAAAAAGCGAGGAGAGATATTGGAAAATTTGATTGCTCAACAACTGGATTTATTTAGGAGGTTATTCGACGGCAGTATTCGCCATAGATACTCAATTAATCCCGTGAATGACAGATTCGATAAAATTTTGACTTTGTGCAATTACGCTTTTTTTCCTATTGACTATTGGATTTCGGCTTTCTGGCGGATATTGTTGACATTTGTGTGGTTCATCGGAGCATAAAAAAAAGGACAGACACAAACAAGCCATGCAATTTAAATACATACAATAAATCTCTCTTCATATTTATAGCAAAAAAAATACGGATAATCTCGTATAGTTTGTAATGGTGAAAATATTTGTGAATATGTTTTTAATTTATGTTTCAACAAGATTTTGCCAAGGGGAAAATCACTCGTGATTACAGACCATAAAATTTTTATTTTTCGTCATTTTTACACAAATTTCCTTGTAAATTTCAGTCATTTCTTGATTACTCAAAGACATTTCTACTTTTATTTATCATTTTGAATCCAGCTTGTGACAAATTTTGGGAATTTTTTGCTCCTTTTGATCGTTATCAAATATTTAAAGAAAATTTTACTGTCTTAAAGTTACAACACTTCGTAAAACTGTGTTGCAAGATTGCGATTCGTAACTTTTATGAAAGTGAGAAATTTATTATTTGCAAGATCTGAAACGTTTGAATCAGTTTCAACACAAGAAAACCCATCGAAATTGACAGTAATTGTGTTTTCAGGTAAATTATCACAATTTGATTGGATTTATCTGACGATTTGTGCACATTTCAGCTATGAAAAGCTTAAAGTTGCAACCAAGTTTCATAATTGATACAAATTGAAATACAAAATCTGTAAAGTTGCAACGACCAGATAATTTGATTATCTTAATGTTTGCAGTTGAACGTGGCAAATAAGCATAAAGATTCCTCGAAAACCAGCGAGTGACTTTCCCCTTGGATGTTGCAATTAAATGTGTTTAATGTGTGAAAAACACACTCCTGCGGAATATCCTTCTGCCTTTGCAGCCTTGTCTAATAGTTCTCATGATGAGCGATATAATGTGATATCTTTTCAGCCAAGGCATCGACATTGATTACATTCCAGCATCTCGCATCATTTCTTCATGACTATTTCTGACCAATCGATCATCATCAGTGGAGGAGTCCAGCGGCCAGCAGACCATTCCCATGGGCTTCGACTCGGCGCGCGTGGAGATGATTCTGCAGCACAGTCATGCCCCAACACCTGAGTGGGTGCCCGTCTGCGGGTAATTGAGTCCTTGCATTACACACACCCAACAGTCAAATCTCACCGATTTTTCCGCCACTTCCTCCCCCGCACTCCGTCTGGCCACTTAGAATTTCCAATCACGTCCCTCCATCCTGCCTAGGCAGTGTAATTTATTCATTGAAATGCACCAATGACAATGAAGAATCTCATGATTAATAACACTTCCACACCATTTTTCTCTCTCTCACACACACATTCAGGTACGATTCGTCGACAAACAACCAGGAAGCGTGGAACACTGACCTGTGCCTCACGGAAAACCTCCTGGAAAACATCACGCGGTGCATTTGTCCCATTTCCGGGACATATGTCGTCCTGCTCGCCCGACAGAATTACAATGTAAGTTGTGTTGTCTAACATCAACTCTTCTGTCTCTTCTCATGTATTATTTATTAACACGTATTCACGTTTCTCCTGAGAGACCCCCATTCTTGGCACTCCCACTGTCTTCTGGAGGGACATTGTCATATTTCTCCCTCCCTCTGCCCTCCCCGAAAATTATATCCTTTATGTATATAAAGGAGAGCTGAAGGGCGAAAAAAAGTCATAAAATATTGATGCATGAGAACGGTGGAAGTCAGACCCACGGCGGAAAGTTAAGGTCGAAGATCCCCCGAAATTTCGTGAATGCATGATTTCTGCCTCTGGGAAAAAGGGACACTCAAGTGCCATTCAAAGTTATTTCAACTGCAAAATAGGATTATACTTTTGTTTTATGAATTGCCGTAATTCATTGCGAGGATATCAATTCACATGAAATTGGGCAACTTGAGTGTATTCCAGAGTATGTCCAAACAATGGAATATTGAAATAGTAACGAGAAGACATTCGATGAAAAGAGAGCGCATAAAACACATATGAAACATCTTTTATGTATCCATTTCTGTGCAGGATGTGAAGAGTGTACATTTTAGATATAATGTCAAGTACGACAATTGCCACAATGCATTGCAAATCGTGCTGTGGATGTAATTAATTCAGTTCTTGGAACTCTCAGGTTATTCCACTTGTCATTAATAGTCTGTGAGCTCAATTTCTTGTCGGAAATACGATCGAAGGCAGTGTTTCGGGGTGGCTGATCTCTTGTCGTGGCCTTAGGGGGGGTGAAATAGAGAGCTTAGCCTTAAGAATATATGTAGCAGTTGCTGGGGAAATTTGAGATTGCCGTTGTGCCCAATTTCTCGGAAAGCCCAGCTCAGAAATTGCGACAATAAGCAATTTAGATTTCTTCTGCATCTTGATTAGGACAACTCAAGCAATGCCACAGATGAACAACCGGAGGAAACTTGGAGGGATAAATCAAACCAGGGAGGAGCCAAGGGGGAGACATTGCGATCAGAAGTGGTGTACAGATCAGTGGAAGTGTTTGACCAATTCCAATATGGTGCGTTGAAAAGTAACTTTTGACAAAAATAATTTGAATACTGGGATAAAAAAAATTATTTTTCACATCTTTCTAGGTTATGTTATGAATTTAAGACAAACTTTGCCACTAAAAACCCTTTTAAATCAATTATTCCTGCGCCTAAGCAGATATGATCTGCTATTTACTGGCCACAGACTAATGATATCTGATAAAGATTATAAGTTTTCAATGCTAAAATGTGTTAATAATGCTTAGATTGATCATAACCTCTAAAATATTGTTTTAAGGTACAAAATAGTTTATTTTAAGAGGTTTTTGATTGATTTTCTACTCGAAATTTGCCTTTAAAACGTTCCAAATAGGATTCTCTCAAAGATTCTTTTGGATATCTGAAGGTAATTTTTAGGTTATGTGCCAAAGTGCATCCAAGAGAGCGATTTAAGATTGAATCACATCAAAATATTCTGTTTTTCCCTAAGATTTCAAGATCATACAAGTAAAAAATTGGGTCTTTTTAAGAGAAAGACTTCCAAATTTGAGGTTATGAGTCTTTAGGCTGTTGAAAAAATCTATAAATTTTCGAAAAAGGTGAAGAAAACAAGGAAAACACATGTTTTAAGCAGTGCTGATGTTGTGAAAGTGTCTGTGATTCTTCAGAGAAATTGTGAAAGTGTCAGGAAGTGTGGTGTACACTGATTGGCCATGCTGTCTCCCCCTTGGGAAGAGCCTCGCTTTCGGCACTAATTCATCATGGGGTGATGCCAAGTGTGGGGAAAAAACACTTCGCTATGTTGATCAAAGTTAGAGGAGATGTGATACAAACTAATGACGAAATCCATCCACGTCACGACGAATCAAAGTTGTGTATCGCTGCAAAGTTATTCCATTAGATGTGGTGTGTGTGTTTTGTATAAAATTAAACTCGATTATTTGCCTTGGCGCTGGGAATTTACTTAAGTGATAGTTTTTCTTTCGCCACAATGTGCACATCAATTATTCAATGTGGGAGAGAGAGAGCGGAGTTGTGCGCTTATCTGGGAATGGCAGTATTTAATTTGCCACGGAAATTCCACTGAGGTCTCTGCCAATGTCGATGGCGATGTGCTTCAGCACACGAGGGAGCTTTTTTGCCCATCACCTCACATGACCAACACTGTCATCGACTGTGATTTCCCTCCCTTTGGCCACTCACTATTTCCCTCAACACTTTTCTTCCCGGCGAAAATCAAAAGGGGAAACTTTTCGATGGTCTCTCGAAGCTTTTCTTATCGCTTCGCTCTGTTTGCGCTGGGCCAAAGAGAGAGTGAGAAGGAAGGGTGGAAAAAGTTTTTCCGGCGTGTGAATAGTACAAATTGTATAAATATCTTCAGAATGTGATTTCATTTTCCCTCACAGACTTCCGCTGTTCAAACAACAACTCGACCAATGTTTGTCATCCTCTGCTGTGGCTGTTGTTTCATTCAATCATGTACGGCGTTCGCAGTGCTGCTTCCGGTGCTGTACCATCGTAAATGTAGCGTAACTTTTTTGAAGATGCAGTTTTGTACAACCACATCGACTGTGATGGCCATTTTTACTCTGGGACTCGTGAAGCTTCTGCCAAAAGTAAGTCAAGTTGCAAGCTGATTAATAATGAGCACATTTGGCCATCATCTCGCTAAATGCACACCATTGGCGATTCCCGCACAGAGAAATGCGAGAAAAATGAAGTCAAGGGGTAAATATGTGGTGCAATCGCGATTCACAGCAATTTCAAGCGTAATTCACAATCCCTAGTAGAAAATCTGAAGATATATTTGAGAATATTTGAGGTTAATTTTGAGAAAATGCAATTTTTGTAGAAAAAATTGCTCAAATCTTTCCACATTATTAAGGATCTTATTAAATCTAACGACCGTTTACTGAAAATCTATCCTCTTGTTACAATCTAACCTCTTTTCTTTTAAATAATTACTTGAGTTCCTTTAGATAATTTTAGAACTTGTCAATAGTAGAATATTCACAAAATTCCCAGAAAAACCACCCTGAATTCCGGTGATATTCCATTTAATACCCGAAATTATGCTGAATAACCGGAAACGATCCGAATACCGCTAAAACGCAATCTTTGAGCGTAATTACGCAATCTTCGCAATTCAGGTTCATTCAGAGTGACACATTTTTACCCCTTGAATGAACTCAATTTGATTGCGAGCAATTTGAAGTGAATAATTCTCCAAGTTTGCGCAACACCCACGAAATCATTAGTTATGTGGCAAAACAGGATCAATTTGTATAACGTGCAGAGCAATTGAAAACGAGCGAGCCATTAAGGCGAGCCAAATACATCTTGTCTCAGCACTTATGGTCGTGCTTTTTAACACCAAAGCGAGCTAAATGTGTGCAAGAAGCGGAGCTTTAAGCTTGTCTGTCACTTGCAGGACTGGTCCGGCGTGATTAGCTCAACACTGGCTGGGCTCCTGCTGATGGGATCCACAACTCTTATCGCCATAATTCTCATCGTCCAATACGAGGTGGGACAGCAGCTGCGACGCGCTCAATCAGTGAACATCTCCTCTGGTCTGCGCGGTGCCATCGGCCTGAGCTGGCTTCTGCCTATTTTGTATGCAATGTGTGTCCCGCTGGTACACAGCATCGTGAAAATGTGGCCCAACAATTGGTGGCAAGAAGTCGGAAGTTTCGGATTTATGCTTTTTGTTGGAACGGAAATCCTATTTGTGATACTGTTTGCCCTTTTATTCTTCACGTTGATAAGGAAGCTCGTGTATTTAAGTCGAAAGAGCGACAAACATAATTCATCGATTATGCGGAGGTAAGAGAGAGAAAACCCCTTAATAAGTCTCCTCATGCAGCGACCCATAGTTAATGCTATATATCACTTGGAGTTATGAATTGTGGGGTCAGCAAAGTTTCCGTCGCGCCTTGTACAAAAGGCGAAATGTTAAATACATCTTCTCTCCTTTGGAATCACCCACAGAATTGGACTGCTCGTGAGATCGGCCTTCCTCTACATTGTGAAACTACTCACAATTGTCTCATTCCTTATCTACATTAATTATAACGAATTTATCAACAGTTGCATCTTCGGACTGAGCTGTTTTATATTGGTGAGTGAAGTATTTTTAAGCTCCGAATGTTCCAAATACTCTGCAAGAGCTCCTCAGCCCTTCATATTTCCTTCAAGGACTGAGGATTTGCAATGCAAAAGCTCCCTATATTGAGGCTCTTACCTTGCGATGTATTGATTATTCAGTGGGGCCAATAAGGCTATAGATTTGTGTGCATTTGCAGGGTTCATCAATTTTGCTGTGCTTTGTTGTAAAAGCCGAGGAGAAGCTTAAATTTGAGCCAGTGCAGAAGCTGAAAAACGGCAGCCTGGATGAGAATTACTACACAGGATCCATAAATAGTCCACTGAGCTGTAAGTTTGTGACCCAGTTTGACTGTGAAATTTATACGAATGAGTGATGAATGGGATTCTGATGTGGCGCGAGTGTTTCTCTCTCTCTCTCGCGGGCAGATTTCACAAATCAAGACGTGGAGCAGGACAATGAGGGGGTGCCACCGTCGGGCAAGGTTCCCATGGCGATCCTGTCGCAGTCACAGCAGCGCTGTCCCCTGGATCGCCTCGCCACGATGAGTGGTCAGAGTGCAGAGACTTTCATGAGTGCTGGCAGTTTTTCGCCACTGCCCTCCATCGAGGGTGGCAAGGTGCTCGCCTTCGACGCGTCGCCGAAGCTGAGGGAGCAGAGCGACGGCAAGTTCCCCGTGGTGGAGCTGCAAAGCCACTCGTCCCAGGCGTGCGGCAACTACCAAGTCTCCCCGGGAAAGTGCTTCATCCCGGAGCCAACGGAGTTCGTGGGTGTGGGCGGCCTGGACATCCTGCAGGGCGTTGCACCAGGTGAGTCAATCCTCCCCTCCTGTGCAACACATTGTGACACGTGTTGCACTGCGGCAAACGTGAAAATTACATCCAATTTGACTCTCGCACGCTGAAACACTGCGAATTACGGACCAACACAAGGGAGAGATAATATGTCTCAAATCTGTACACCACTTCCAGGCACTTCTAAACGTATTTCAAAGCATTTCTTACACTTCTTCAACTATTTCCCACACGAATTTCTGACTTATCACAAATCTAACTCAGGTTTTTCCGTCTCAAGAATTTTAAGCTCTTCAAATGCTTAGATTTTGGGTTGTAAAAATTAATTCTATTGTTCTTTCATTCGTTCATGCCAAATTTTCTGTCTTGATTTTCTAGTTTTATGTTTTGGAAAACTGTTAAAAATATTTTGATCAAATTGTGAGGTTATGAATGCAACTTAAAAATCTTTCTTCACCTAATTTGACCTTTTTACACCGGAACACAATATTTCTACAAGAGAATGACAATAAATTTACCACTTTTAAGCAAAAACAGACAATTTTCTAGACTGAAATGTCATTTTTGAGGTTATAATTGACTTTTAAGCTTTTTCTTTCCTGATATGAAGTTATTTTAAACAGGAAAAGCTCAATTTTGCCAAGAAAAAGTAAAATAATCCTAGAATTAACAAAATTTTCATGATTTAGAGGATTTATCACCCGAAACTGTCTTAAATCAATCACATAACCTAGAAAAAGCAATAATAATGATTTTTTAAACAGAATTGTGTAGAAAATGCCTCATTTTGTTGAAATGGAAGGTTTTGCAGTGTAAATATTCGATATATTTTACCACTTCCAATTCCTAAACACTTCCGTAAAGTTGTACACCACTTCCAGACATAATATCTGCCCCTTGGACCAACACATTCACCATCTGCAGTGCTCGCGACTGCAGACAATGAATTCTGTGCAGGGATGACAAAAAAAACAATCATTTTTCCCGACATATGAATTTTTGCCAATTGCCTCGCTCATTATTTTATGCACTGGGCGATGGTGTAACAAATTGCTTCATTGTTTTGCCTTAAATTGAAAAAGGCTAAAAGCACTCCTTGTCCTCCTTACCTACTTCCTGATTTATAACACTTTATTATACGCTTTCCCACTTCAACACACTCTCTCTCTAATGTTGCTCGTGAGTGTATGAAAAACCATATATTTCATAAATTTATGTTGCTCTCCTGGAGGACTTTTGGGAAGCTTTGCGAGAGAGCCAACAATACAGCTCTTGTGTGGTTGGACTTAGCAAAAGAGGCGCCCCATTTCGGCTCAGATATCATGTATTGTTGCGAACATTTCAATTTTCGGTGTTGTAAATACTTTTACGAGTTGATTTGTACTCTATAGAAGTAATTGAATGCTATTTTCTCAAGTAAATCAACATACAGTCGATAAATTACACCAAAAAAAAAGCCCAGTGTTATCAATTTAGAATTCACGACTGAGTCATAAATAGGAAGCCGTGAAATATTGACACAAAAGCATTGATAATATATTTTGTCGACTCTCTCTCTCTCTCAGCAAAGACGCTCCCATAAATTGCTCTTGGCACCTCTCGCAGAGTTTACAAGACACGTGTGGCAGAATTTGATTTAAGATTCCTCCCCATGGCCCACAATTATGACGAAATGCTTCCACAACCATAAATCGCCCTGTGTTGCCAAGCTGTGTGTGTGCACAAGTGTAGCGATTTTGCGTGAAATTCATGCAATATTGCACGCAGTTAATGCCCGCGGCGGAGCCCATTAAAAAGCCCATTTGCTGCACTAATCTCTCCCAACAGACACAATTGTGGGCATCAGGGCGCGGATACCGGCAGACAGTGTTGGCCATCAGCACCATCACTCACATCACTTCCACCACCGCGCCGCGCCAGACGCCGTGATTATTCCCTCGTCACCGCAGCCGCCGCTGCCCATCATCACGGTCACCTCGCACGAGGAGGACGCCGCGATGGAGGGCATGCTGGACAGGATATCGCACGACCTCGACTACCTGCTCAATCGCACGGCCACGCCGCCCGAGAGCGTGCCCGTGAGGCGGAAGGGCGAGCAGACGGTCCACTTTGCGCCCACGACCTCCGCAGTCGCCACCATCCCAGTCGCCCACGCCCCCGGCGCCCAGGGCACCCCCGCCGCTTCCTACCCCATCGGCCACAGCGTGCAGGAAGTGATCATCGAGGCGGCCGAGGAGTGAGTGTGTGCTCAGTATTCAATTACCGCCCCGATACTTCCTTCCTCGCGCCCACGGGTGGCACCATATCAGGCGAGCGGACGGTGGAGATTGAGGACAATTGGCTCTGTCATAGGGGAGGCTGGGGCCTCCTAGCGAACTCAGACGAAGCACTGACACAATTCAGTTCCTCTATGGCGTTTTGGGGTTATTTTTCCTCCCCAAACAGGTATGGAAATATGTTGGGAAAAGCTGACCAAATTCAGTATTGTCGCCTAAACTCTTGCACCATTTCCGTGGCTAATTGCAATCAAATTGACAAAGCCTCAAAACAGATCAATAAGTCTAACAATAATCATAGTTTTTCTATTACGCGCTTAGAAATATTCTGTTTCATCTTTAATATCGTTTATTGGTGACAAAGAACTTTATCCACTGTTAAGTTTTCTCTCTTAGATAAATAATAGCAAAACAAAGTGGTGTTTATTTCCCCAAACTCTCCTATTAAGTTTCTCACTGGAGGAAATGTTGATTATTTGTCTCTAATGACATATTGGAAATGTTGGTGGCTTAACAGCAACAATCGTGCGATTAAATCTGTTACGCAAACCCAGAAAATCTCATATTATGTATTTATTTAACCACCAGTAATGCAGTTCGTTATTTATACACTTTAAATATTCCCATTTGACACACATTGTTGCTAAATAAACCGTATATAGTTGCTGTTATATTGACACTTGTTATATTTTAGTTGTTTGCATAAAATCTTGAAAAGTGTCAGGATAATCAACGCTCTTGAAAAACTGTCAATTCAGTGCAAATTACACGCAATATATATACTGAAAAATGTTTAAACTGGCGCGTTGATTTAAATTGGCTTTAAAATAACAGTTGAAAAACAGATTCAGCGAGTTATTTCGCAGCGCTTCTGTTTATTATAAATTGATTTATTTGTCATGATAACTTCGCTATGAAAATCTCATTTAACACGTGAAATTGACGAAGGACTGTGCTGAATAAATAATTTGGCAGAGAGTGAATTAAAAACTGTATTGAGAATATTAAAATCATTCGCATCCAAATCATTCACTGTAATTCACGCATTCATCATGATGGCCTATTTTTCATCACACATAAACAAATCTATAAAACATTTATGGAAGAAATATGACCTATAATGATGTAGATAAAAATCGGGGCAGAGCTATTCAAGAGTGAAATGCGTTTTAAGAGATTGTTGCAACTGAAGGAAGTATCAGAAGCGCAGTAAGAACAAGGTAATAGTAAATAGTTTCTATAATAAACAAATACTTACTCTTAGCGAAAATTTTTGTACATTTATCTCTTAACAGGAAAAATGATAAGCAAAACTGTCACTCTGTGTAAAAAAAAATGAAAGATCTGTCAGAAATCAAACTTCATAAATTAATTTTTTTATGTAAAACCAAAGTGTAAAACGAAAGGGAAAGAGAGAAAGAGTATAAATGCAAATCTATACAAAAAAAAATACTTAGAACAATAAATAAAATTTCATGTAAAATAAAATACAAGAGCGTGTTTCATTTCACTTCGCAAGCGGCACACTTCTACTGAGAGATTTTCCACCCATTTTTTCCAGAGCATTTTTTGAACATGAGACAGAAGAAAGAGAAAAATATACCGGCAACTTCTTTGGTCATTCTTCTGGGCAAGAAATTATTGTTCTATCTTTGGGAGTTTATTGAGTGGAAAAATGTACTTTTTTTTCCCTCCCTATTCTCAGCCCTAAAAAGTCACTGCAACTTTTCTTCGCTTTTCTCACTTGAGAAGACATTCAGTATATATATTTTTCATACTCATTAAATTCAATGTGAAAGATTTTTTCCCTTTCGTAATTCAATTATTTACCATGAATGGATGGAAAAACTCACAATTTGCTTCTTCCTCTCGAGAGATTCGCACAATTTTTCCCCTGTTTGCTTGTGCTTTATGGCAATTTGATGTCGCAGTGTTATTAGGAAAGTATTTCCACCACAATCGTTGTCAATTCAAAAGCTAAATATTAAATGGACAAAGGGACTTTTGCGATTTATGACAGGAAGACGAGGGAAACATTATAATCCCATTGGGATTGTCACAAAGAAAAGCGGAAAAATCGAGTGCGCTGAGATGGGAATGGAGAAATTGTTGTCAAAAGTAGAACAATAAAGACGGGGAGCTTTTTGTTCTTCATTTGGGAAAAGCATCTCCAGAGATGCTCTTCTCAATATTGTTGTGGGAAATGCTCTACAATTTCAATCATTTCTTACAAATACGGATTCATGGCAGAACATAAGTCATAAGAAGCAATATTTTCAGTGATATTTCAGCTATTTTTGCCCATAGTTATCGATTCAATCCTTGAACCAAAGAATAAGTTTTATTTTCACTACTTTTATTACATTTGATCCTTTCATTTATTGTTTTAACGTATATAATTCTTCTCGCAAAAGACTTCATGTTTTATGCAAATATCTTTTGCATTTTCCTTGCTCAACCTGCAGAATTTATTTAAATTTTATTGCATGGGATTGTAATTATAATAATGCGTCTGTTGAGATGTTCACAAATATCTCCAAAAAAACATTTCATGGTAATTTACATACGAAATCACGCTTCCTGATCTCTAAAATAACTTTTGAGTGTGCCGAAGTTTGCATAAGAGGAATTCGAAATGTGCCAGAAATGCAAGTCAATTCTTTTCTCCTCCTTGAAAAATTCCATCAAAAGTATAAGGAAGTTGAAACACATGACAAATGTATTTGAGATAAAGGTATTATATACAATAAATATGAAAGTTTCTCGACCAATAGGCAAAACTGAAGGTTATAAATAACTTCCACATTTATTGCTATATATGCAAAGTTCTCTTCTCGAAGCTCTCTTCAGCTTTTGCGCACTTATCGCGGCATGTGAATAAAATTGTATTGGCGGAAGCGACAATAATGACGCATTTACAAGATTCAATCTTCGTGTCAATCAAATTATCCATTCCCAAGCCCAGAGACAGAGCCAATGGGCTCCGGGAGTGTTCAGGAAAGTGATAAAAGTTGCGTTTTCGTCACATTCACGGGTCCAATAAATTGTCCAATTGCCTTAGACTGTGAGACGCCAGTCGGACTCATTTTATGACCATGCGCTAACAATGCTTCAAGATTTTTCAAGAAAAGTACACACAATAATTTTTATTGCTTGGCTGGAGCGATATCTACACATGTTACTTCCCGCTCAACTTCACCATTCAAACCCGCATGAAAAACAAAACCCACACCCAACCCATAAAGATGCGAAACTTTTTTACGGCAACGAGAATGTAATGTAAATTGCTACAGTGATGTGGAGCTTCTCCCCAAGAATAACATCGCCCATGAAACTTAATTTCTCCCAACTATGCTTTTTAATTGAAAATATAATTGCAATTCCTTCATATTTCCTCCACGTTTTGCCTGTTTAAATTAATTTAATTGCTATTATTCTCCTTGCTAATTTTGTCTCCAACGGAACTTTGCGTAAACTTTTCTTTTTTTTTTCTTCTTGCTCTCTTTACTTCCATTAAAAGTTCATGTATAATGGCACTTTTTTCTTCTTATAGAAACGCTAGTGAAGTTTGTGTGTAAGCGCGCAAAAGGAGTTAGTCTATTGTGAGTAGGTGGATTAATTAAAAGTGAATTTATTGAAGACGAAATGTACTCAACTCGGGTTATATACAGTAGCGAAAATTACATTAGGACACCTATCAAAATGGTTAGAATTTAATGGTCTTTCAAATGGCGAAGAGAAGACATTTACATTATTTTTGGACTTGTCAAATTGCATTTTATATGTTTTTTATACGATATCTTCATTTTTACGTACAACCGCGTTCCAAGTCACGTTCACAGGATTTCTATGGAGTGTGAAACAGGAGTCTAAGTTAATCGTCCAAGAATAATCATGTAGCCGTGAAAATTACAGCATTTTGCTCTTTAGAAAGGGTGATTTTTAGTCAAATTCTTATTATAGAGTCAAGAAAATCAGTAATTTACTATTGATGCATGGCAGGAAAATGGTTCTAATTTCGTTAGCTTTTTGTCTATATCATACAAGGGTTCATAATGTGGTAAATAATGCCCATGCCATGCCACAAAATCCAGCATTGTGGCGATTATTGCACACAAAGATATTCCGAATGACTAAAATTCATTGATCAATCAGAATTGTCCAGGAATTTCACTCAACAATGCATTGAAATTTACCATTGATTGGTCCTCAGTTCAGTGAATTTTATAGTTATTCTGAAAATTGGCCTAATTTTCATAGGTGTCTTAACGTAATTTTCGCTACTGTAATATATGAATTTGATAAGCTTATTGGAAGCTCAGGAACAATGCCTATAAGTAGTGGTTAATTTGGAACTGTGCTGGAAACGGGTGAAATGGAGTACTAGTTAATTAGTCTAGTAGAAATCAAAATATGCATGATTCCCTGTTTGAATTCATACACCGCAAGAAGTGTTTGCTCTCCGCCGGCATATTGAGTTATTTACGAAACAGCGAGGCAATATGTATACATAAGGCAATTATAATGAGCACAGAGCGCAAGTGTCTTGCCGAGCGATGAGTATTATACATAAAGATCCTTCTTATTCTCATGCTGTGTGTGAATTAGGGCAGTAATTAGGTATAAGTGAGTAGTCCTCCGTAAATCTTCTGAATTGTAATAATTATGTTCTGTGTTTGTGTGTGGGAGGAAAGTTTTTATATGCGCCTTCTTACCCAATTCTGGAGATGTCCAATATTTTCTCTCGCATTCTCACATGGGCCCGAAAGAGCCATTCATTTAAGTGCTGCCGCCACTGCAATGGCAGTGGGCTCCTCTTCGCCACCCCCACGGATTAAGAACCACATATAACGCTTCATTGAATTTTATTTATTTCCCCGACATTTCCCAACCCTCACCTGCGTGCACTGAAAATATAATCAACACATCTACACAGCACACCTTTTGGGAAAGTTCCACTCTCTCTCCCCCTTCAGCCCTAATACAGCCAGAGACAGAGATGGGGAAGAGAGGCGCTACATCCCTTGACCTGTGAAACAAGTTTTCCTTTCAACTTAATAACTATTACATAAATAGTTTGTTCTTGGGTTTCATATCATGGCAACAAAAGGGTGTGAACGTGAGTTCGAAAGTTCATTTTAACATTCAAGTGGTCAAAGTCTGTATTTGATAGCGAACCCATGAAATTTCTGCACAAAACACAAGAGTATTCTCGGAAAGGGTGCTTGTTTCATCAATATATTAAAAATGTTTGCAACGTTCGAGAGAATGCATAACTATACACTTCCCACAGATATTTAAACTTTAATAACAATGCACAGTTGAAACCTCAAGAATTCACCACACAACTATTAAGCGATATTAATGGATGTTCACTTATGCTTTAGTCAAGTATAAGCACATTCCATTACATGGAGAAAATCGTGATTTCTCGAGCATTGAATACGGAAATAATTTATTAGCATCAAATCCCTGTAGATAATACTCACTGAATAGCATCATCAAGAGTTCGGTCATAACTCATCACTGCCGATAATATCTGATAAGATAGACTTAATTATTCATTTATAGGCCCTCTTGTTGTATTCCATAATTAAAGCTGCAGCGATTTGGACGGTGAAAAGTGGCTGCATTTTCACGACTCTTTAATGACAAACTTAATAAAGCCTTTTTTGCGCAAAACTTAATTTTCTAAAGGGAAATTGGATTTTGTCCATTCTACACGAATAGTGTAAATTCATACATTTTCATTCCATGTCATGCATGACCGACCAATTTCAGAAAGCTCGCATGAATACTAAAGAGCTTTGTCGAAATCGAGCAGCTCAATTTTGCAACTGAAACTAACAATTATAGACTTTTGCGTCACATGAAAATTACTTGTTCACATTTTTTTTCTTCCTTTCATCCTGGCAACGTTGCAATTGATGAGATTTTTGTTGTGATTTCACTGACATGGTGAATAAATCTCGAACGATGTGTGCAATTCAAATGCAGAGCCGCGGTATTATTCATATGGGCGATGCCAACACAATATTTGCGGAAATGCAGACAAAGATTGGAAGCAATGAAAGCTAAACAATCAGTAAAATGAAGTAAACAACTTTTTCATGGTTTCATTCGGGCACACTTCCACTATCACGGCGAGTCTCACATATTTCCACAGTGTCACATATTCATGATACATTGGCATGGAACGTGTTGAGCTTTTTTCACTGCTCACAGAGATACTTTGTGGAGCTTAACAACAAGAAATTTGAGTTGGTTTTGTGCCAGTGATAAAAACACTCGTTCGACATCCAAAGGAAAAACAGGCTAGACAATTTGTTATTCTTGTTTCACGCGACACACACACACACAAGAAAAGCGAACTGTGGGAAAATGCTGAAACTTATATAGATATTA